ATTTTGCATTATTGAATGCAGAAATGGTCTATAAAACATTTTGCGCAAGCAGAAAAATGTATTTATTCCATCTCTTAATTAGAAATATTCTTCAAATGAAGATTAAGAGAACAAGATGCATGCAATGTGGCCTTAAAGATTTTTTACACTTGTTCGGTGGAGTTGAACTTAATGTCTTGAAGTAATGTGTAATGTGTGTATACAGATACAAAGGTGAAAATATCAATGCCATTCCTTGTCATTATTATTATGAGGGGGGACTGAAAAGTTCATAGGCAGACTCTGAAATTGTTGAATTTAATGTATACCAGGTTTCATTGCTGTGGCATAACTTCTTTCGAGTCAGCCTATGAAATTTTCAGTCCCCCTCGTAATAATAATGTTATTGAATGACATTGATATTCATTTGATGGTGAAAGGGACACAAAGGACCCTTTGTCAATATTGCACTATAAGGGCATTGACACCCACCTTATTCATAAAAATGTATAAAAGGTGACATTCTCTCATAGATTATATTAGAATAAACCTTATTAGATTGGTGAAAAAATCTGAGGTCAAATGCTCACATAAAGCAGGCCATAACTATGTTCAAGAGTTTTGTGATAATGAATTTGTAATTATACACAATAAAATGAGTTTAAAAACAGGATTTTATTTGTGGACATTAAATATTCTGTTTGTTTATGATGCCTAATCTAAAACAAGTGGTGTTTATATCTCTTTAAACCTCCTATTTACAACTTCTGATTTATAGCCTTGATCAATTTGTTTTAAGTCACTATGTGTTTCATAATTATAGATTTATTCAAATGAAGATAAGATACATAGATATTCTTTTTATTAATGTGTTTGATTTATGTATTTTCTGATTCTGCAGTGATATTTTTTTGTAGTGAGTCAAGTGTATTTGATTGCTAATGATTGGTCAGTACGCCTTAACCACTCTGATTATATGAGTATTTGATTGATCTATGAAATTACAACAGCCTGCAGATAGTTGTAAAGTAGAAATTGCAAAATTTCTTCTGTGTTATCATGAGGGCGAAACATGGCAAAAGTTAAACTAGAGTTTAAATTTGACTAATATAATAATTCTTAAGGACAAATTGTCAGTCAGTTTTTACAAATCTTTTATAAATAAATAAATTGATAAAAAAAAATCTTTTCTATTATTCCACCTTATCTTAGGAATAAAATATTCAGACATTTTGTCACCATCATGTTTTCTCTGTGAAATAGATTCCATTATTTATATCCTTGTAATGTTAAGTGGAAAGTTTATTCTGACATGAACTCTTAACTCTAAGATAAGGGACTGATACAGATAGGCCTACATAACACAACCAAACCTTAACAACATTTGACCAGATTTCACTATGTTCTTAAAGAACTCTATGAAAATATCAATTGAAAAAAGTTGTTCAAAAAGGGAAAATGTAAAAATCCATTGCTTTCAAAAAAAGAAACTAATTTTTTCTGTCTTGTGACTGTCTAATTTCACTATCAATAATTGAAACCATATTTACATCCACATTCTAGCCTTTTTGCTAAAGAAATAGCAGGCTAGGGGAGTTTCCTGATGTCCAGATCCAGCTGTAAAGGATTCATCTACAAAAATAACCCAATATAGCTGGACTTTATGAATGCCAACATTAAAACCATTTTGATTATAGGACTTTTCAACCAGTAAAATTTTATCTCAAGAGAATTCTATGAAATGTGATTTAGGGTCTATTTCAAGATGATGTTACGTTTTAAGCCAGAAAGTAAAGATTTTTGAAAGCAGACACAAGTGACAAGGTTAATGAAATTTAAATTCTCTATCATTCGCCTCAGTTCAGTTTTTACTAAATAAATCCTATTAAATGATTTTTGTCTATCATGTTAGTAAGCAGGAAAGGTTTATACATGGCAGCTACTGTCTGATAATAATATGAAATGAAATTGATGCTTTTAGTCTGAAAATGTCATTAGTTCACATGATGGTAGGGGATTGTGATATTGTATAAGAACCTCATAATATCACAGATTAAGATAATGATTGTGAGTCAACAATTTGGATTGTATTAAAATGACATGCTCATGCTGGCTTGCTACTCTGAGTTTGATAACAAAAACTTAAGAAATTTTGGAACATTGGCGCTCATAAGGGACTGTTCCTTCTGTAGATATTTTCAACAGGCAGGACATGTAAGACAACTTTCAATTAAATTTCAATTAAATTTCAATTTAAGCTTATCACTGTCTTGCCCTTAGAAGACTACATTGTAGCCGCTGTGGGTTGAATGCTTGCTCACTATCCTGAAGGACCCGGGTTCAATCTTAGCATAGTTCGAGATAATACCTTGGGATTTTTTTCAAACCAGTTTCCCCTTGTCAGTGCTTGTGCAGTCATTCAGATGGGACAATAAACCGAGTCCCTAGGTACAAACTGTGCAAATTAAAGCTTTCTCAACAGTTAGAAATCAAAAAAGAATATGCTTAATTTCCCTCATTACACTCTGTATGGCATTGCCCATATTCTTAAGTCAAATTAATTGCAGAAGAGCAGGATTAACACTCCGTTCTTTTCATTTAGGGGACCACATGATTCTGTGAAGTAGTGTGGCTTTAATATAACATTTACTGTGTATTTTACACCATTTTAATATGTTGACTTTCCACTTCCCATATTTTATTTGAGAGTAGATAATGTTGGTATAAACTCATAATAATGCCTTCACCATTATTTTTGTTTTGATTGATAATGTTGATTGGATTTATAAGTTTTATGTCTTCAATCATTTTGCTTCTAACCCTGAAAATCAAATATGATCTCTAATGGTTTTGTGACTTGGTGGAATCACTTACGGAATTTTACTCATGCATTTTGAGCAGATAGCGTGAAACCATGATGTGGTTCCAGCTTTAATTTTCGACTTATTCTGAAATGTCTTTTATGTATAGAATTTGAAGACTCGCTGCACTAGAACCAGGAATAGCTCAAGCTGTATAGCAAATCATGTTCTCTTGCAGTGATCAGTGTCCTTAGATTTTCAAGCGATATTAATAAATATGATATTAGCCCCAAGTTGGTCCTCAGTCTCTCTCTTCTATATAAAGTCTTAGCTCTGTTCTTTATGATTTTCTTCTGCTCAGTAATCAGTCGTTGACTTTAAAGGTTGAAGTTCCATCATTATTTGATATATTTCAATTTGCAGCAATTATTTTGAAATATGTTTCACAATTATTGAAATTTGTGTAGAGTAGATGAATTTTTATGTGACAGACGTATGAATAGATTATTATTAAACTAACAAGATGTGATCATTAAAATTCTGATTAGTGGAGAGAGAATTTAATTGTATTGTTTGACTTCCTGTAGAAGATATTCTCTTTGTTCTTCACATCTATATTATATTTCATGGAATATCGAGCATTTTTTCTTAAAGATAATTGGTTTTAGTATTTATATGCTAATGAGAATTGGTTTCTTTTTTGGTTTTACTTGATTGAACGTAAAAGGACAGATTCACCATCTTAGTCTCAGAAACAGGAGTTGTTTAGCTAAGCTAATTAGTAACAGTGTTCACAACTCACTATCAAAAAGTCCATCTGTGTGTATAATTATTTGAGTTTGAAATTAAAATGGCTTTTCTTGACTCTTGAAAGTAAATTTTAGAGGAATATTTAAATAGATTATGTGATATTTGAGCAGTTCTAGTAGTTCTGAAGACTATATATATATAATCAAGACCCAAATTAACCCCTGAAATGGTGAATCATGGCCTTAAATACGAAAAAGATACTTTTTTCTCACATGTGAAGAACTGTCCTTATTAATGAAGTATAATTTCACATTGTCAAAAGGTGCACATTACCTAGAAATTACATGAAGATATATAAAGGTGTATTTATTGAAAGGGTTTGTCGTAACCTTCAAGATTTTTACTATCTGTTAAAATAGTGATAATTGTACACTAGTATCTGTGATAAGATAGTTGAACACAGTATAGTTGTCAAGTACAACAGGAATGACTAGTTCATGTTGTGAGTGCAAACCAAGAAATTAGATTATGCATTTTAACTTCAAAAGTGAATTTGCATTAGCGAGACATTTGAAGATCGTTCTGTGAATATACTGAACCTGGAGTGTTTACAAAGATTAAAAGTGATTGATGCTATTTTGTAGATATAAATCATTGGTTTTGAAAGAGAAAAAGATTCAATGATTAGAAAGTGAAGTAGTCAAGAGCTTAAACTTGAGATTTCTATAATAACACTGAGTGAGTAGAAAATTTAATTTAAAGTGTATTAAAATTGTTTATTTCAAGTAGAAAAAATGATATCCTATATAAACTATTAAAAGCAATGTCAAGTTTTTATTTTAAGTTTTATAGAAGGTCAAACTGATTTCTAGAAGTTTAATGGTTATAGTCAGTTTCCTTGGTTTTTTTACCTGGATTTCAGGTTACAGGCATAGACTGGGACATTACCTCCAGATTTCTTGTCAGTCTTGTTATGGCAAGAGTTTAGTGTTGAAGTCAAATCATTCATCAACCATGAAAATGGAAAAATAATTGGTTCCAAGGGCTGTTTTGGCTAAATTTTATTTGCACAATCCATAGTGGTGATTATTCTGATTGGCCCAATGAGGTGCAGAAAAAAGAACTATACATCATCATTCCATTTACATTCAAAATTTAGGAGGATATCATCATTAATTCTGTAAGTTAAAAAAGAATAGCTTGCTGGTCAGGAGACTGCTATAGTATTTGTTCTTTTGTTCATCAACAAGTCTTTATATAAACTTAAATAAAACCCGAAACAAGGTTAATTTAATTCAATTTGTAGTGATTTTTACTAAAAATCATAAATAAACAGGATTTGGAAAGAACATTTATAACAGTTAACCAATCATATAACAATATCAATAAAAATAGGGGGGTTAAGTTGTTGACTTTATCTCGAGTAGTTTTAACCCCGCTTGGTGTATATGTTTATATTGTGTGCTCTGACCATGCTGTTTTCTGTTTGGACAAAATCTTTCAACATTCACTCATCACGTTTGCCTTATTGTGGTTAAATTTCATCATTTCAAGACACAACTCAAATCAAGGTAAATTATTATTACTTTTATTAAGTTATAGCAATTATTTTGATTATTTTCAATTAAAAATCTCAATATGAAGCTATAAGTATGTTAATGTGAATCGTATTGATTTTAGTCGAGGTCTATATAAAGAGGTCATTGACATATATGAAATTAAAGGGTGTGAAACTGATGTTAACTGAATTTTCTTTCTTAATCTTAAGTTTATATTGTTTTTACAACCACATTCATCTGATTATTAGGTGCTTATGTTGTAAAAAAATATAACTTTAATGATCATAAGACTTCTAAAAACCTTAGCAGTGAATGATTAGAGAAACATTTCTTTTAAAAGTTTTTTTGATAAACTTGTTCAGTTATCAAGTGAATTTGCACCTTTTACATACAAGACAAACTGAAATGTAAACTAGAAAAGGAGATGCTTTTAATTGATCTGAGCAAGTTACAGAACCCAAATGTTCTATTGACGGATCCACAGTTGATTCCAAACAGTAAAAAAAGTCTACAGTGATAATAGGACAGACAGGATCTCTTTGTCTTATTACAGTCTAATTTGAATGTTTAGAGATCAAGACAGAAAAGCTTTTAGACTTGAAATTAAATTTTAAAAGCTTATTCAGTGCATTAAGACCAATATATTTGTTGCATTGCATGATCACACGCCAACTTTCTACTTTAAATTGAAAGATGAATAAATATTTGATAAGTTTAATCTTAACAAAATTCCTGGTTAATCGAAGGGATTGTAAAGAGGTTTTCTAAACTTGTTATGTGTATCAAGGATATCAATTTGCACCATTCCATTCAGTCAGACTTCTGTGGCTCTTGCAATTCCACTAAAATAAGTATTTTATATTTATATACAAGATCCTTTGCAATAGGGCATTATTAAATGCTTAACTTGGAATGGTACAAATTGATGCTATTAGGGTACCCTATTCACTTTGTCTAGGTAAACTTTCTTTTATTTTGGAAATTATTTTTTGAATAATGATGTATCTATTAAGTTATTTTATATTATCAACATATATCATAGATAATGATAATGATTTTGAGGTAAATATAAATCTTATCTTGAAGTTGTAAGAATGACCCATATTGATAAGATGAATGAAATTATCACTCATGTCCACCATTTACTATTAAATATAACCTTCAGATGTCAACCCTGCTTTCATATACCTATTAATTACAAAACTTTCTTTAACAGACATAACTTGTTTCTTTTAATCACCCTAATCTTCAAAATTTCACTAATTTCAATGAAGATGAAATGAATGGGGTTTAATTACACTTCTGCACCATGTGGGCTAACGAACACAGACTAATTTCAAACTATGGACACAGAAATAGATCATGTGTCTAAAGATTTCACAGCATGAGTTTGAGTAACAGCATGTTCTGTTTTAATATTTCTATCATCATTCACCATTTGTCTGGAAGTCTATCACATTTCATTTATTTTTGATTTTCATTACTAAGCAAGGCTTCTTTGCTTTACCAACTAGATTTCAGCTAACTGTATCACTTCTAAGAATCTAAATGTGACATCAGATTTCCTAATGATTATAAAAAACTGTACTTTAACTTAACAGAAAGACAGTTTGCATCTCTATCAAGCTGAGGCCTCTTTAGACAAACAAGATAAAGATTCCAATAAATTATTAGCTTTGTGGACTTTCTTGAGCCTACAAATTTGAAAGGGTCAGCATTATCAACCAAGCAGACATACTTCAATTACAATAACAATAGATGAAAATCTTTCACGTCTTCAAGAACCACTTGTCAACTAGCAATCTGATAATGATTGGAAGCAGCAGGAATGTGATTAGAAAATGCATTTACAAATGACTTGATAAATGTTTTCACGCGGAAAAAAATCAGATTGTGAGAATGGCTCAAATTGCAAATAAAAATAAATCATATATGGTCAGTGTGACCAGCTACTATTGAGAAATCAAGAAATAAATATTAGGATAGAATACCCAAGATGTACTTTTATAATTCATGTATTTGAATTATATATCAAGTGTGATAGAGAGTGATATCAACCATGGTGTAAACCATCAACTGGGAATTGACGTTAAGTGATCAATCTTAAAAGAACATCAGCTATGATTAAAGTTAAACGCCCGGGTAAAAAGCGTATAGCAGCAAATTATCTGTTGGTGCAGTCTGGACATCTTTTAATCAAACATGCTAGATATTTCCTGCTCACTTCCAATTGCAATGTAGGGTTGTACGTTTCTTTTTGGCAATTATTGGAGTGGAAAATCATCCAGAATGGTAGTTAACAATTCGAGCAATAAAGCTATTATAGTAATTGTCAAGGCCAAACAACCGTCTTTATGTTATTACCTTCAAGAAACTTAACTGTTAATGCCCCATAATGTATTGTAGAGTAAGCCCCCAAAGCATAAAGTTGGATTTCCAATTAGTGCTAGTAATTTATACCAAAAGATACAAGCAAGGCCAAACAAACCAGACTGTACATAGCTTGAGGATATCTGTTTATAAGATAGTGGCATAATGAGAATATAATAATATGATATCACACAGTTTTAAATCACAATAAATCATAATAATCTCTTTCACACCTTAAAAGGTATATAGAAGGTTATTTATTGGTTTGTTTCAGTACAGGTAATTTATTGGTGATATGATTAAACAATAAGATGTATATGAAAAGCAAAAGACATTTCACTCGGATTTCTATCTGCTATTGTCTTGATATACATGTCATCAAGGAACAGGCATGCTTTATCTATTTAATGTCTGTCTAATCACGATTCTAATTCCACAGTTCTAGTATATTATATTGATCCAACCAATCTAGTCACCCAAACAATTCACTCTTGATTACAAGTCAAGTTATTGTCACCATATGGATTTAGTGATACTAATTTCTATTTTAAGGCTAATGATAAGGCTATATCTGTTTTCAGATATTTATTAATCTGAATTGTAGGTTTGTTTGTTTTTTCATTTCAGAAATATTTCTGTGGTGTAAGTGTGATTAAGTAAAATCATGTACCTCTCATTCTTGTGAACAAGATTTTTCAACATCTTAAATCATACATTTAAGTATTTATTCTTTCTAAAGACATCTGGTTTTGTCATTAGAATGACCAAAGATGAACTTGACTAATTTTGTTGACCAGTGGACCTTGACTTATGGATTTCATTTTGGATAGAAAATGTCAGGTTTTTTTATTTTGATTTCAGAACATATTCCTGTTTTTTAAGGTTTTGAATGTTGAAATTCAACATAATATAAGCAGGCTAAACAATTTCTTAAATGATATATGTGTCATATCAATATCAGACACATGCCTTTTATTTTCAGATTGTTTTTTTATAATTATTATTCATTTTCTTATTGGATATGAAATTGATAATACCAATCCAGACACATGGTAGTCAATTTCAGATCTCATTTCATTTTATCTACCTTTTTTGCTCAATGACTTTTGATTTTTGATATTGAGACTCATCTGGGTACATGGAAACTTTAACACTTAGAGTCCATTATTTTTAGCTAGTTGAAGTAATAGTTTGTATAGTAACAATTACTATTAATTCTACCTAAGAATATACTGTAGTTGACTTGTTGTGTTTCTGCTTTGAATGGTTCATGGTTGAGCACATATATCTATACATCTATAATCTATCATGTTTATTATTTATTATTGGTCTACTCTGTAGAATTATGAGATGTTTATAGATACTGGGCTATATAATGGTGAAGATTTGTTATTATTATCTATAGATTGTGTGTGAATAACAGTATCAATATCAGGCAATATTCAGATATACTTTCTTACTACAATTGGATACTGTACATTGACAGTGTAGTACTTCAGTGCAGATTTCAGGAAGGTTACAACAATATAGCCTTGGATATACTGTAACAAAATATTTTCAATGTATAAAAGTTCTCAAGTCATGAATTGTAGAGTGATATGGAAAAAACAGAACCTGAAACATTTTGTTACAGAGTTCAAATTGGAGTCATTTGTCTGAAGATCACAGCATGAAACTCTAGAGTAACAGCATGTTTCAGGTTCTGTTATAATATTTCTAGTTTTGTATCTTGGACAACAAATGTATGTTTGACAGGAATTCATAGTATGAAATAAAAGATTGAAGGGATGAAATGAAATTGCTGAATTTGGAACTGATGGGTGTTCAATGGAATCTGTCTGGCTATTTTGATATGACACTGTTCTTATCTATATTTTCACATATTAGAGATATATTGTGATATGAAATGTTATACCTCAATAATAGCATTGATATATTGATGTGTTTTGCCTGAATTTAATGTGTTTTGTCTGTTTTCGCTGCAGTGGTTTAGAGATATATTACACCCCTATGAATACCAATTTTAAAAATGAATTTATCTTTACACTGCACTGAGCTGATAATTTGTATTTTCATTTTTCTTAATGCGTTTTTTCATACTATCACTCTGTGCTTGTGAACAAACTTTGATCATATTGAACAGTCAAACACTAAATCATTATTCAAATGAAAACTGACTCTGCCGTTTGGATATATTCTTTCAATATGGCAGAAAGACTAATAAATCATGATCATTGAAATTGCTGTTAGTTATTGAAATTTAAATTTTGTGCTTCTTATTTAAACAGTTGGTTTACAGAACAGACCAAACAGAACTACTGTTGGTGCTTTAGCAATCAAATAGTTCATTTGGTTATTGAATCTAAAGCTGTATTTTAATTAAATTGCTGTTTTCAGCTTATGGATTTCAATTAATAAAAAATAAACATCAAAATTAAGCTTCAATTAATATTCTCACAGATACAGGATATGAAATGGAGTTCAAGGAAGTTATTAACATTGAGGAATTTTTTATATTTTCAGAGGTATGAGTGAGCCTTTAAATCATGATGATTCCATGACCAATTCCAAAGAAGCTGCCAAACTGCTTAACTCTAATCCTCACAGTAAAGATGATGCGAATGCCAATGTGTTAGATTCTCATAAACAAGATGGATTTTACGTGAAAACCCTGAATGGTTTAGGTAAGCATCTTATTCTACAATTTTGATATACATTGAGTTTAAGGCTATACCTCTTGGTATTACTCTTTCCCGGATCTTGTGTATGAATTTACAATGAGGTTCTCTGGAATTATTAACCAGTCATTCTCACACCAACTGAGACTAGATATTACAATATCATATTTCAATGTAACCTAACAAAGAACATCCAGGTACTAATTCTCTAAAGTATTCAGTCAGACAGGGATTAAAAATGTTTTGTAATCAATAAAAAACCATTTGAAATGTTCAATTTTGGAAATGCTCATCAATAAATAGGTTGAATACTGATTACTTTTGGGTTTAATTTATTTTGTAACTATGTGCTGGTTGTGAACATTTCAGCAAAAATACATGAGTAAAAGTTTCCTGTTTTAACACATGTGTTAATAAAAACATACTGTACAAAATGTTGACAAAAAAGTATACACTAATTATAAAAAGGTGGGGATATCCTTTAAAATACAGTATGTGACATTTTGTTTGGTTTAAGGTAGATTTAAGCTAGACAAACAATGAAAATAAACACTTAATTTTACAATTTTAGATGTCCAGGCAGACTTTCCCTCATCGCATGGTGCATGGTGTAGCCCATCTATAGGTGCAGTAAATTAAAACCTAAACTCCATTTTATTCATTACAATTTTAGAATAGTTAGAATTTAGGTAGCTGTATAGTTATGATCTAATCAGTACTAAAACCTCAGAGGTGAAGGGATTTTAATTGTGTTCCTTTGCACCCAATATAGGTCAATTTGGAAGATGGGTTTGTTTTTTGTTAATAACAGTATTTCTGTCACTTATGTTGCATTTCTAACATAACAGAAAATTTAACTTTTTTCAATAGATACCATGTCAACATTAATATTAGCTTTATCTAATCTACTAAAAATATTAACCTCAATTAATAAGTACTTCCCCCAAGAGCAGTGGTTGTCTAGGATTTCATATACTAAAACTCTATGACAATAAAAAAAAGGTTTATAATATATATAGATATATCAAGAATATAAAAGTCTGAAATTCTGCAAAGAAATTTATGCTTTCAACTACTTTGTTGTTTTATAGTTTATTAGCCTATATTGCATCAATTAGTGTAGTAATTAAACGATTCCACATATTAAAAAAATTCCTGCAGTTCCTAATCAATTTGAATGACAAGATAATCATCAGAAAAGGAATGGAATTATGTTCTGTGAGGACTACTGCTAAGATACTGTTATAAATTAATGATAAATGCCATTATAATGTGTATTCTGAGTACATGTATTTATGTATTTTATGTGCTTATAGATGGTGATCATATCAACTTATTACACAGTGAATCGGAGGTAAGATTTACTTTCTTCCTTTGTTTTTTTTACTTATTTGTTCAGTGTAGAACTTTATTGAGGATTTCTGAACTTTTAATTGTTTCTTGCAATTCCAATAAACTAAGCATCACAGAAAGGCTAGGACATTTGTGATAATGTTTTCATTAAACAGAATTTCAAGAACCACAAATGTCTAACTGAAAATTTGAATGGTGTAAATCAATACTATCAGTGTCCCTAATACATATAAAAAAGTTAATAAAATTCTCCACAATTCCTTAGAGTTAAGAGCCTTTCTATGACTACTATTTCTTTTTTCATGAATATCAATGTAATTTTCACCATCAGTAATCAAATAAAAAAAATATCTTCACTGATGAGTAGGCCTATCTACTAAGATTGAAGCATTATTGTTCTACAAAATGTAGATTGCTAGTAAATGAGTAGTCGAAAGGAAAGATCTGGGACAAGTTTTTGGTTGTGGAACTTGTGGGTAAAGATGAACTTTGTAGAAAATACCTTGCCACATAATGCTGCTATAGTCCATAGCCCTTTTTCTTGCTACTGCCTAGAGATAAAATATAATCTTCATTGAAATTTTGGGAAAAAAAAATAACAAACAGTCAGTGAAATTAGTAAGGACTATGATTTAATAAAAAAACACCAATTAAATTATTTTTAGAGAAAGAAAGATAAATTGTAAGAAACTGTCGGGGGTGAACATCAATTTCCCATAATTTGAAGCCAGATAATAATCACACAGGCTTTCACTGTCATGTTATGGATGTCTGGGTTATTTCACCATTTTGTTATTCTAGATCATACCAGTAAAAGATTTTGCTGCTGAAGTCAGAGCATTAAAAGATGTCCAGTCTTATCTTGATAAAGCTGTCTTATTACTCAATCTCCAGAAAAACAGCCTTCATGAAATAGTGGAGACAATGGTTGATAAAGTTTTAAGAACTACAGAAAAGAAGAAATTTGATTTTGAAAAGGCCAAATCTTCCATATTTACTGCAGAATCAGGTACAGAATGCTGTAATTTAATGTTTTTTCTCTAATTATTTCTCAAATCAGGTGCTGTGAAAAGGGGATTTCCATAAAGGAACAACAGATTCTGTCTGAAAAAGTTTTAGACCATCTAATAAACAGCTATTTTTGTGTGCTTAAGGAAGCTAACATCTTTGCTAAGCAAACAGATCAGTTACATTTTAACTAAAAGCAGCTTACATCTATTTGCAGGTGAAAATTTAGCTCAAACTATACAAGGTATTCAAATAGACAGTACAACAGGCTGTACAGAATATGATCAATCATGGATCTGTATATTGTAAGTACTCTAATAGTTTGATTATTGGTAGCCATACAGACTGTTGAAATAATCTATACCCTCCACTAGAGATACATGCCAGCATCTGTTTAAAAAGTACATGAATTCATATTGCACTTTCAAAATCTCTGTTTTTGTCACAGAAGCAATAATAGAAGCCAGTCGCGGCATGTCCATTCATACAGAACACCAATGCCACTGCACTATGTCAACTGAACTCTTGTAAACTCATTCTATCTTATCTCACACTCAACATAACTAAAATTTGATTTTTTTTTTAATGTAGATGTGAATATATATTGTAGATGTGATATTCCAAGCATAAATGACCGTTATGTAGCTATAGCCAGACTAGCAGAACCAACTAATATCAATAATAACTGTCAAGAATGTAGATTTATTATTCTAATTTTAACTCCAAGTAGAGAGGTAGGTCTTCACTTTATTTGTTTATTTATTTAATGTCAAGTCGGCAGCAGTTTTCTTTATTAATATATGCTTATGTTCATCATAATGTTCATCTTTAAGTTCATCATTATGTTCATGATTGTGTTGATCATTATGTTCATGATTGTTATTATCATTTAGTTAGTCATTATGTTTATTATTGGATCATTTTGTTAATCATTATGTTCATCATTAAGTTCACTATTAATTTCATCATTGTGTTCATTATTATGTTTATAATTAAGTTCATTATGTTTATCATTAAGTTCATTTTGTTTATCATTAATTTCATTATGTTTATCATTAAGTTCATTTAGTTAGTTATTATGTTTATTATTAAGTTCATTATGTTTATCATTAAGTTCATTATGTTTATCATTAAGTTCATTATATTTATCATTAAGTTCATTATGTTTATCATAAATAAGTTCATTTAGTTAGTTATTCTGTTTATCATTATGTCAATTAATTATTCCTTTTTTCATTAAAGTTGGACACAAGGTTTAGGATAATTTAGAATGGTTGCAAGTGATGCCAAGCCTAATACTATCATTTGTACACTGATATTTAATGAATTTATTTGTAATCCTTGACTCCATCACTATGTATATTTATTACAGAAAATGACAAAAGGTCCCATGGAAATCGGCAGGACATTTGCTACATTATTTATGGATTTAGAATTTCGATATGAGTTATTAACAGTTCCTGGTGAAAAACAGTTTAAACATTATCTAGATGACAGAGCCAAAGATCTAATAGAAAGTCACAGTTTACCAGAATTTAGAAAATCTCATAGTAATTTAGTATCAGTATTTGATGATCCAGTAGGGGTAAATATTCTTCAATATTCTTCACTCATCTTTAATTAATGTTTATCATTTTACCAATTTTATTTCAAACTATTATTCAAAAGTAAGGCTTTAGTCTATAAATCTATTTCAAAGTCCATAACATACTTTTACAACAATTTTTTAGGGTTTTATTCACACCATTGTTGACTTGTGATTGTATTTTGTAATGTTTACAATATTTTTATAATTTTACAGTCAAGAAATAAATGTCCATTATTTCAAGGTTTAATAGGTGATATTAAACGAAGATTACCACACTATTTATCAGATTATAAAGATGGTTAGTAAATTTTGTATTCAGGTATTTGAGCATTTTCTTTATCATCAAATGGCAAACACTTTTATTATCAATTAAACTTCAACTGTGAACTGACAGACTGACTAAAGTCATTGACAAAATACTTTTCTTTTTGCAGGAATTTTTGGAAAGAAGACCCCACATAAAGTTGTAGCTGCCATATTGTTTCTGTATTTTGCTTGTGTTCTACCTAATGTAGCATTTGGAATGTTAAATAGTAATAATACACATGGTGTAATAGGTCAGTGGACTTCTATTTTAATGTTTGGTATGGCCAAACACAAATTTGAGAACTCTGACACTCTCGGTAAACAGACATCATTTTATGGTCCTGGTGATCAAGAGCACCAAATGCAACTCGCAACATGAGAGTTCAAATCTTATGACAGCTATTCTTATTTACAATCATATCAAAGATGCAAAATTATCCATAAATGGCAAGTTTTGCTGCATGGTGGTCCTTTACAAGTTACACATGTCAGAAAAAAATAAAAATCCTCTCTGCTAGTAAATGTCTTTTGATTGGATTTTCATTCAAATTTATTATCCAAACATAAAACAATATTTGTTATTTCAGGTGTAAAAAAAGTGTTATTTTCTCAGGCTGTTGGTGGTGTATTATTTGCTGTGTTTGGTGGTCAACCTTTAATAGTTTTACTAACTACAGCCCCACTAGCTCTTTATACTAAAAGTAAGCATATAAATTCATTCTAGAAACAAAATATATTAGAAAATTTCATAAAATATAAGTAATATGATGCAAGAAAAGGATGTGCACTCAGTGTTACCTTGTCTACAAGATGTACAATATTCAGGCATCAGAGAAACCAGTTAAGATAGAAATAAAAAAAAATTTGTTCTGAAGACCCAATTCAACTTCCTTTAAACATGATTTCTTATTTTCAGTTATATTTACAATCTGCGAAGATTTTGATCTAAGTTTTGAAGCAATGTTTTCCTGTGTGGGTATATGGAATACATTTTTTTTGCTAGTTTACTCCATTTTTGATGTTAGTAAATTAATGAAGTTTTCATCAAGGTAAGAAGATTATTGCCAGAATGATTCATCTGTCATGAAAACTTTCATTTAATTGGTTTTTTAAGAGACTGTTATTGCTGATAAGAAATTAGAATGGAAGTGAAAGATAAGAAGTTAAAATTGGAATTTATTTAGTGTAGAAATGTTAAAGAAATACTAACAGTTAAATTTATAGCTAAAAAACAAATTTAACAGGTGATACAGTATACATGTATTTAATGTTTAACCACGATTGCAACTGTAAATTTTTCACGTTTGGTTTTTGCATTTGAATGGGAATTAATGGGTGTAATAAATTAAGTTAGATAATTAGATGAGTGACTGTATATTAGGCAGAAACACAGAACGTTAAAGAAAACCCTTCTGATAATTATTGATCGATTTCAAATATTTGGGGTAATAAAAAGAATATTCTGTTTTTTTGGATTTTCTCTCTTAGACAGTGATATTTCTACAGGGGGACAAGTGGGGGAGAGGAAAAAATATGTGAGGCAATGAGCCGGAACCACAGGCCCCCCAGAAAAGAGGCTGGCTAGGCTTAGTGCCTCACTTATTTTTTCCTAGAGGCGCCACTGCTCACTGATATAATTTTGTAACTGTGTTGTTGCAGACTTGGGTATATTAGTCCTGTTAAAAGACTTGTACAGTATCGAACTATTATATTATCTTATCTTTCAGATCAACAGAAGAAATATTTTCAGTTTTTATCACATTTGCATTTTCTGCAGATGCAATTGTAGACACAATACATGGTAAAATGATTAATTATTTCTGATATTCTCTAACATTTTCATATTATTTCATAATGTTTTTTTACAATTTTATATGGTGATGGAAATTTCTTGTTTTTTTATCAAAAAATATCAATCTGAAAATCATTTGATAGGTAGGCCTACAGAATTAATAATAATATACAGATGATTATTTAGAGAAATAATGTATCTGGTCACAAACCTATATGATTCAAGACAACTGCAGCTTTAGATCTTTATTTTATGTATTTTAAGTGGATGACTCAACCTCTGATCTGACATTTTTTTTCTGCACCACAAGTTCTAGTTCTGTAAAAGATATTTATTGCTTAACATTTCTTCATAGAATAAAACTGCTTTTAATAGTTTGTATGATTGGTCTGCATAAATTTGAAAAATTTGTAAAGATTGTGGATGGCAAAAGTAGTGACACATAAAATAGACATAAAAGGTAAAAGTGTAGATCTGTATTTGGATCAGATTGATATTTATTTATAACTGTTACAATTACCTTTTCCTTTAAGAAACATAACCTGGAAACAAGGTATCTGGACAATGCTAACATTTTATTTTCAGAATTTAACAAAAATTACAACACAGAGGACTGTAATAAGACAGAAGAGGCTGTAATAACCACAACTATAGCATCTAATATAACAACCACTCTACCAACACCTACTAATATAACACACTGTTTACCAGAAAATAGCATTTTATTCTTATTTCTAATGTTGGGTACTTTATGGCTTGGTTTAACACTTTTTAACTTCACAAAAACGTAAGTGATGCACAACCTAATATTTGACTACTTTTAAAAAATCAAGGAAACAGAATTATGAAATGCACAGCCATAAAGGAAATTTTGCTGAGACAGTGTCATGGTTCTGCATCATTTTGAATAGCCTACCATCTGTTAAATAGCCTGTAGCAGGAGGGCCACTGATTATTGTCAAATCTAACCATTTTCCCATGTCAGCCCTTCCAACCTGCACATGTGTCCAGTGGAAACTGGATTGAAATCAAAAGGTTTCGTCACATTGTCAGGATTAAACTTCAGATGTGTGGGTTAGCTTGAGTAAACCATGCTTCTGAGTTTGGAAAATTCAGGCAGCATTAGAATTTAAATTTGAATACTCTCTAATGAATTTTGACATTAATACTACAGGCCCTATTTAAATGCTGGTAAAAGAGAAATATTAGCAGATTATGCCCTGCCTGTTGCAGTATTAATTATGTCATTTATTGGTACTTATGTCTTCAGTGATATTAAATGTAAGTTATCAACTTTATTTCAAATTATTCCTTTAAATATCACCCATGCCACAATATATCAGCTTATAATATCTATGTGTTGCAAAAGCTGAGTAAGACCAACAGCTCTTTCATCAGTAAGTGCTTGTGCATCACATGATACACATACCAACATCAATGCACATCTCTCCAATTATTAGCTTGATCAGAACAAATGTTACAATGGTAACTGGTAATGGACTAGGCAATTTTCATACACATTTTTTTTAACCCGCTGTCCCTCAAACTAAATAATTTTTTTTACTCCCATATACAATGGTTTTATCAGTAACTAAGAACAATCAATGTCATTTTTCAGTAGAACCATTTCAGTATAACCCTGATGAAGAAATGTTTGTAATAGCACCATTACATAAACTACCTATAGGAGCAGTGTTAGCTAGTGCTGGATTAGGATTTAGTTTATCTTTATTATTCTTTATGGATCAAAATATCTCCAGTGCTTTAGTTAATACACCAAATCATAGGTAAGTTCTTGAATAAAATGAAGAAATTTGTATTCAGTCACTAAATACTCCATTTCCTTTTTTGACAGTCAAATATGAAATGAAACCAGTAGAAAGTGTCTTGGAAGATACCCAGCCAATCTGCTATTTTATTTTTCTGACCAAATATATTTCAATACTACTAAATGTTCAAGAGAACATCAATACCTCAGAAACTCAATTCCATGATTTTAAATGGTAGGTCTAAAGGGAGCAAAATCTAACACTGAATCTTGGCAAGAGATAGATCTTGCTTGATTACAATTTTTTATTTTTTATTTACAGGTTAAAGAAAGGTGCTGCATATCATTGGGATTTATTTGTAGTGGCTATAATAAATTTATTTCTATCAGTATTTACCTTCCCATGGGTACACGCTGCTTTACCACATTCCCCATTACATGTCCGAGCTCTAGCTGATATAGAGGAAAGAGTAGAACAAGGACATGTTCATCAAATGTAAGTTTGATGGTTTTTCGCATTTTAAGTTAATAGATCTAATACATATGATGAAGTATGATTCATATCTCAGAATAGTGTTTAACTTCTGCTTCTTCAGAGTCAACAGGGCCAATGTTTTGATAAATGTTATAATGAATTGGCGATTTTCCACATATCCACATTTTACAAGGATAACAACTTCAGTTCTCGAGAATCTGAAATATTGAAAGATCAAACTAAAAGAGATACAGCTTTCACCTTCACTATTACTTATTACTAAAGAATCAAATAAATTTTGGTTGAAAATCATTTTCTTCTACAGTGTAACCATGTTTAACTGGTCATAGATAATCCTAAAACTCTGATATAAGCACTGAGAATGGATGTATGTACAAAATGTGTTTTTATATTGTAGAGTAGTAAATGTGAGAGAAACAAGATTAACTGGTATTATATCACATGTTATGATAGGTTTATCAGTTTTATTATTACCTCAACCCCTATCATATATACCTAGAGCTGTATTAGATGGCTTATTTTTATATGTAGCTATATCAGCTTTATATGGTAACCAATTCTTCGATAGAATCCTACTTTTATTTACTGAACAGGTAGGTTTGTCTTGAACTCTGGAATTTATACTTTTGTAATATTGCTAGGAAATGAATTTAGTTTTACGTCCTACTTTTCTGCATCTGTTCTGGCTTATGTGTACTGGCCATTCCATGCGGGGTACAATTAGGAAAATTTTGCCAAGATAGCGACATTAGTCTCCTTTTTTACGTTTCCAATTGTACGGGAATCTTTAATGTGCATATCCTGCAGCATAAAGGGGCCGTTTTATTGTCCAATCTGAACAACCAGACGGTCTCAGCTATTATTGCTGGGAGTGTACATCTCAATATCGAGGGTAGACTATTATTCAATCATGATATAGTAATTTTACATTCTCATAACCAAATTTAAGCGTTTCAATGAATTTTGATTGTGATAGGTTGCTTCCATGGGGTAAAACTGAAGAACACTTTAGAATGATCTCTGAACTGAAACATCTCTCTCATTGAATTAATGAATGAATAACTTTATTCCATTGTAGGGCTTTAGTACCTACTTCTATGTTATAAATTTCAGGTTGCTTACCCTCCAAATCATTACATTAGACGAGTTCCACAGAAAAAGATCCACACCTTTACTGGTATCCAAGTAGTTCAATTAGTAGTACTATGTGTATTTGGTTTTTCTACTATTGCCTATATGAAGATGATATTTCCAATTTTACTTATGTTTTTAATGCCTATAAGGTAAGACTTAATTCCTTTTAAATGAACCTGTGTATTTTATTTAGAGCTCATGTCATAAAAATCCCTTCAAGTAAAACAATATCGTTAACCACAAATCGGAACAAAAATTGTATAGTAGTGAACTCCTTAAACGAGAAGTACCATCAGATGTTTCAAAAAGAGTAAACATTTTCTGCTTCGTGCATGACACCAAGCTAACAAACTCACATCTTGATATTCTCTTTTCTGATTATTTCAGGCACAAGTTGGTACCGAAAGTTATCGAACAAAAATATTTGAAGGCATTGGACGGTCATTAGAAAACCAACCAAGGTTTTTCAACATATCAACCTAAAGACTGAGATATAATTGAGAAAATCATGGATCTTTCTGAAGAAAATCATTGCATTTCATGATTTTAGTTATAACATTATTTAGAAGACATTGTTAAAATATATTCAGTAAACAGAATAGTTATGTAAATAAAGAATTTTTATAATGATATTATACATATCTAATTTATTGTATAAAACAAATTATTTTTACTGAAATAAAAGTTTCAATTAGTTCTTGTTTATTTCAATATGGACTTGGGATAAATCTGTATTTAATAGTTATCTTAGTTACATTGGAATTTGTGTACTGAGGACCTTGCCCAAGGAAACTCATCTTTACTATGTCAAACTATTACGAACTACATCTAATACCTTGACAAAAACCAAGGCCCAATGTGCTACAGGCTGTGCTGATCCCTCGACAGTTGGAAATAAAGAGCAGACTAATGCTGCTGTCCTGGCAAAATTTCCCTCATTGCACCCTGCGAGGTATTGTCTGTCTTCATCAGCCCACATGTTTCAGATAGAACAAAACTCATTTCAAATACCTTGACATCAATAGGCACTTTTCTTGATTTAATTGGTTGGAAAGCTACCAAATATATCTAGTCAGTACTCGACAGAGAGACTGTGATCCATAACGTTTACTGTCTTTATGTTGAGTGCTCTGACTGTATATGCTAGCATACAATCCAAAAAACCACAAATAATCAATCAAATAATTTACTGAAAATTGTACATTTATTTGTATTTCATAATGTTATTTACAAAGAGATTTAGATGAACTATTAACAAATGTAAATATATGTTATTTACAAAGAATAAACAATAACATTAACAAAACAGATTCAATGAACATGCTTGTCCTAACAAATTGTAATTTAGCACTCTGTGCTCTTTTTTCAAATTAGTGTCATTCAAATGAGTTCAAAGTTTGCCTATAGACCTAGAAGTTACCATATTGTATTGAAATTGTATTTTTAAAACATTATTACATCAGCTTTACATTCCAATAATGCACAGAGCATAATGAACATCTATAAATATAAACTAGCAGCAAATACAATATCTCTCTTTATTTGTCGAATACCTGAAATATAAAACATACATTATTGATAAAAGTAAGCTTTACCAGTGACAGAATGCTCGGTAATGTAGTTGGTGTATCATCATGACCAGTCTTCAACATGCATTTTTAATCTATGTTGGGATCATTCCTACCTGGTTTTAGGAGAATGAAATAATTTACCAACAAAAGTGTCAAGACAGTAGCAAATGTCTTACTTACCCTCAGCAAACTTATTTTCTAGTTCTGTGTTTCCTATTGCTTTAGCTGCTTGACATAACTGTCTTAATGTTTCCTCTAAACGTCTCATACACCTGATAATACTACCTGTTTATAAAACATTTAATATATCTTCAAAACTATAGCAGTAGATCAATTTCTAATATGAACATTTTTCATTTTCCCAATAGACAATCTGATAAACATGTTCAATTGTAATTTTCATATAAATAATTCTAGGCATTGTTTCAAATTGGTTTCAGATTGAAGGACCTGAACATAGATGATAGAATAGACGGGTAGCCAGCAATTTCCATAACACCTGAACTGAGCATCCCTTTAAGAAAGTTCACATAAATAATGAATTTGATTTAATGTAGAGACTACAAATTTTAGTTCTACGTTTTAAAGAAATCAAAAACCTACCTTCAAAACAGTCTGTCATTTGACAAACTTGAGCGAATGAAGAACCATTACACCAAGCAAAAACAACATCCATCATATGTGGTTTAAAACCATCAACATAGACTTCTTCATCTATTTCTAACTTAGCTTCTTTACTTATTCTAGCTATTCTACGTGCTGTGTCCTATAATTAACATTTTGGACAATGTTAAGTACATTTTCTTTATCTTTTGATATGATAGCAATATTCTTAGCTTATATTCTCATGGCACATAAATAAATACAAGGGAGAGAATATAGCTCAGTGATTAAGATGCTTGTTCACATAGGTCTGGAAAATACATTCATATATATTTTAGAAGGCTACTGTTCCTTATTTTCTCACTACATGGTGTTAGATGCTTCAACATTTCTTTGTATACATTAATCAACAAACAAGATTGGACTTTGTACCTGCATGATCCTGAGTGGACCTGATAATTCTTCGGATAATTTGGATAACTGATTGGCATTTTCTTGGAAAACAAAACAGCTGACTAGGGAACAAGATTGTTGGGGTGAAAGGTCGTTAAAAACACCATTAAATAACAACTCTGTCATTAATAATTCATCTCCACTAAAATGTAGGAAATGTTAAAATAAATGATATACAAGAAGTGAAAATCAGCCAGTGTGTCCATGTTCGATAGATTGTAAGCATTGTGTGGGTGAACCCAATCAGAAGGCCATTAGAGGCTCCCAAATCGCAATAAAGTCTGCAAGTGGTCACTGACCACAAGAATCAAGAAATCCTACAACTTTCTCTCAAAAAATTAGTTTTAGTGTGTCAGGGTCATGCTATAACATATTTTGTTGAAATCAACTTGACATTTTTTGTGTTTTACACAATCAGTACATTTTATAATTCCTACCTGCTGATTTCACAAGCTACTCTTCCTTTGATCTCAATAACATCAGAAGCTGTAGCATACCCCATCCTTCTTAATACTCTTTTACGTTTCTTTAATTCATCCATTTGTAACAATGATTTCTTCTTTTTTAACTCACTTTTTATAACTTTTATTTCATTATTCACCTGTCGGCAAAATAAATTTCTTTAACAACTTTTACATCAGATGTCATCTTGACAAGGCAAACGCAGGATTGTTGATTTGCATTTCATTGCTATAAAATCTAATTTGAGCTTCAAAACATTGAGAACAGCATTTAGGCATTGTGTTCATTAATATTAGTAAGTATAAAGTATGTGATGAAGGACCACACAAGATAATGTATTCAGACTGTAACTTAAAATCTCCAGACACAGGTAAAAACTTTGTAATAAAACCAGGTAAATACTAAAATGTAACCATGTTACTCTTTCAGTTACAAAAAATTTGCAATGGGAGATAATTCATGTAGTTTCAAGTCAATCTCTATATAGCCTAGTATAATTCATATTATATTAAATACAATCAACATTTAAACTTACCCTATTTTTGTTATCATACTGATCATAAAGATACTGTAAATTTTTATCTTTATGTAGTGGATGAGAGTATAATCTATGTTCAAAGGCTTCTATTTTCTGTAAGACGAAAACATTCAAATATCATAACACAATTCTGCTAAATAGTTTAGAGGAGAACACATACAAAAATCTTTTTTAGGGTTCAAATTTGAAAGTTCGCTCAGGAAGTTTCTAAATACTACACATGCTAAAGATGTAAAGACAAAAGTATGAAATGAAAGGTTGAATAAAATAATGAATTGTATATGTACTCACTTTTATTATTTCTTTCAATGACTTGTCTTTAATACCCATATCTTCTATAGGATCTAATTGTGGTAGACCATCTGGGAATCTCTTCTTTACCTCCTGTAACATAACACAATGATATATTAGAAAGAACTGCCTTTATTTCTCTAATAAAGAAAATACAGTCAGGAACTTTTTAATTTTTATTCTCTTTATTTCACACTGGGGGAAACATGTAGTCACACATAGCTGCAAGTAACAAGATTTTTTAAACTATTTGTGACTTAAAGCTTGCTTGGATATTTTTAGCTAAAACTTTCAAGAAAGGTCTATGACATCATCCTCTACATGAAAGCACAATAATGATGAATTATACCTACCACTAATGATTTATAAACTCTCATTCTATTATCTACTGGTCTTAAATCTTTTGATATATAAACTCTTAATGCACTCACACCTTCTATTAAATGACTCATTATTGGTACAACCTAAAATAAGCAGATGAAAACATTGAGTTTTATGATGATCACAAGGTTCATCAACTTATAAAGAGATACTAAGTTGACTACAATTCACTACAAAAATATGAAAATCACAAAAGAATAAGTATTTTATTGCAAGAGCAGATATTGCCATAGTCACAAAACTGACAAATCAGTATTCTAGCTTAATGATTTATATTCAATGACTCTTACCTGCATTTCTCCCTTTTCTGAAGGTGGACAAGGTTTAACCTGTGTGATATCACGAGATTTAATACCATCTTTAGTTATATAAAGTAACACATCAACAATATATACTGCAGCTTCTCTTTCTAAAGATGTCTGAAAATATAAATATGGAGCATTATATCAAATCTGACAAAACTACAAACATGTTATTAGAAAAGTACTGAAGTACCCCCACCTAAATAAAAGGAATTCTTGATTAGTATCAAATTTTCACTTACTTTATCTTCCTTTTTCTTATTAAAATTAACAACAACTCCCCAACCATAATCATCATTATCATTCTTTACCTGTAATTAGAAATAAAACATCACTAACTTAGCCATTCTCATCTGTAGCTCAGTTTGTCCTGTATCTAGACACTTTTCCATGTCAATATCTATGTTATTGCTCTGCTGTCAAACTAAGCTTTTCTCAAAGCCAGGGCAAATCCTGAAATTTTATTTAATACATGTACCATGATTTGCTAAGAACCATAAGCAAGACCACTTACTTTAACTAATCTACCAGGTTGAAGGAATGGTAATAAATAAGATGGTTGACGTATAAAATATAACAATTCTCTACTCAAACTGTCTAATTGTTGACGTATTTTATAATAGGCTGCTACATTATCTTCATTTTCTATCACAATATTCTTATATTCTAATTCTTTCTTCTTTAATTCTGTGAAATAACATCAATTTAATATTAAGTACGATTCACTTTCTTATCCTCCCCTCCCCCAAAAAAATATTTTATTAGGCATAATTATATAAAGACATTGCCAGCAAATAAATACACTTGGTAAGTGCCATGGTTTAGTCAGCTGAACATGGCAATCTGTCTGAAGTATTGGGTATAACATTTCAAAGAGGTGATTAATTGGAGTGATAAAATTTAAAGCAGATCTGATTTACTTAACACCAATACCATAAATTGTACATATGATCACTGAAACATGATCTTTGTAGACTTACTTTCACAAAGATCAGGTATAGCAGCATAGTTTTGAAACTGATAAAAACTTCTTTCTAACATATATTCAGGATTTATTTCTTCAACACGTAATAAATTTAATACCATATTATAGGTTAGATGAAAAGCGCTGTTCAATGGATCAGGTAAACCCTTCAAAATACAATGGCAAAAAATTGTGGCTGACAACATTTCAATCAATGACAGTGATCTACCTGCATAGAAGCACACAAATATGCATTAGGAATCATATCTGGATATATATATATATATATCATAGAAGGAAATATCCAGCCCTACCTTCAGTAAATTTTTACCAACATCAGGACTCATTTTTTCATCAATCATGAGAATAACAATACCACGTTCATCTAGACCACGACGTCCAGCCCTACCACTCATCTGTATATATTCTCCAGACGTTAACCAGCGAAAATCTTTTCCATCAAATTTCCGAGCACTTGTAAATAAGACTGTTCTTGCTGGCATATTTAATCCCATGGCAAATGTCTCTGTGGCAAATAAGGCCTAAAATGTAAATTTTGACTCATAATATAGTGAAAATGAAGTGGGAACAAGGGTAACAACTTAATTATTGTCTATTCAAATAAGAAATTTATGCATACAATGGTTTTGAAATGATTTGGGCTTGCAAAAGTAACAAGCGTCAAACTATAACAAGTTGAAACAAGGGCAATAACTTAAATTCGAAAGAATTTTGGCATTCACAAATTACAAGTATTTACCTTGATCAAACCCTCTGAAAACAATATTTCTATAGTTTCTTTAAGTATTGGTAATAAACCAGAATGATGGATTCCAACACCTTTCTTTAATAATGGTAATACATGTTCTACCTATAATACAAAAACACATTTGTAGTCCATATTTTCACGGAAAAATACACCATATGCTATAGTCCCATAAGTTTAACTTCTGTAAAATAAGGCCTCTTGGAAATAGTGAAATGAACAAGTTAATCTTCTCTCACCTGAGGTAATTTTTTATCTTCATCAGACAAGGCATCAATAGCATTATTAAACACTTCTTCTACTAACTTCTTCTCTTCAACTAGAAAATAGAATAACACACAATTTTACATGCTGGCATGTTTTATCTCACATCAATCTGAAAATTCTTAAATTAAATAAAATGAATGGAGTTTTAGAGACTACTTTTCTGTCTGATTCGACTAATGAAGACAGGACAGTAGCATAAGCCTGGCCTTTTTCGTTAACGTGCACAGCCTGTTTCAAACATGGCCCTGCCATTCCATCCATTTGACTTGGCAGAGGAACCTTGGGTTAAAAGATTATAATATATAAAGTTATAATTATATAAGTTAATAAGGTAATGGACCTTCAGCTAACACACTGAGCCAACAAGGCTCCTACAAACTTTGAGATTTTGACAATCTGCCTGCATTTCATATGTTGATACACTGTTTTAATTTCTAGTAACAACATACCTGTATTAAAATCTAGTTTGGCCATACTCATACCATATCCTTCACATTCTTTTCTACTAAAACTAAATACAACAACAGGAGCAAAATTCCTCTCCATTATCATTTTCACTATTTTAAAACAATTTGAATCTTGGGCTGAAATATAAATGATACATATATGAACAAAATATTTTCACCATTCATAATCTTCAAATTAACTTATACATTACACATTCAGTTTAATACAGTATTCTACAAAACAAAAGGGAATATATTTGAGACCATCAATTATTCTTTACAACATAAATGAATGTAAAAAGAATTTCTACCTTTAGATCCACCCTTCCTTCCTTTCTGATCTCCCTTAGCAGCATCTCCAGCATCCTTTAAAACTGACATAGCCGTGTTAAAATTCTCTTCTCTAAAATCTCCCTACAGAAATAAACAGAACATATTACTAAAACATTGGTTCCAAATGCAACACTACACTTATATATCATTGTTAAAAAGATTCCTTTTCTCTATTGATATAATTTACAATATTCTTCCAAATAGTACTGATAAGCTTTCTCAAATCGAAGTATATTTAGCATTTGTAAATTGTTCATTGATATTTTCTTAACCATTGAGGAAAAATGCCTTATACATGAGTTAACTTACAGATTCATCCACCACAAGATGTAAACCATCTCCACCAGAAGGAAATAAATAATGTTGTAGGGGAATAGGTCTGTAATCTGTATATACCACATGACATGGCTGCAAAATACATCAATACTTTAATCTCATGATCTATAGTAATAATTGGATATGACATATTATTATCGTGCTACTAAAAAACAATTCAATTCAAAACTATTTACAAGATGACTCACCTGTTTATGAAGATGACAAATCCATTCAGCAAACTGTCTGGCATTAGGTATAGTAGCTGATAGAAATACATAATGTACATTATCTGGTAATAATATGATGGTTTCTTCCCATACTACTCCACGCTCTAAAATAATTTTCAAAAAGTTTCTACATTCTGATTAAAGAGAATTTCATTAAAAGCCCTGAATATTCATGCTGTATATTGTGGATAGAGGTCTCAGGTTCGATCAATAACACTCTGACCAACAGATATAGCTGTACCGACGTATTTATATATATGGCATCTTCGCCTTCTTTTTTCCATTTGATAATAAATTTGCACCAGACATTAATTCCCAGTCAATGTTAAAACCAACCTTTATCTCTCATATAATGAATTTCATCAAATATAACCCAAGCCACTTCTCTCATTATCTCAGATCCTCTATATAACATACTTCTTAAAATCTGAGAAAGTAAAAAACTTGGATTTGAAGAAAAATATGAATAGTTATTGAACATGTCACTTGATTTTGCACATGTTAGTTTCAGGTTTATACTTGTTGATTTGTACAAAAACAGCCTCCCTTTGTCACACTGCACATGGTTCGAATAAAGAGTTGGATGAAAATAGACTTTGGAATTTCATAGGTCACATTGCAAACTGTGGAGGAATTATACTAATAATATAGCAAGGAATAAGCTTAAAGTCCAGAAGGCAAAAGATAAACTGAAAACTTAAATGTAAAAGTCATATAACATTGATATAAAAGTCATAACGTACCTCTGTAGTCATAACTAAAACACTGGCAGTTGGATTAATAGTAACATCACCAGTCATTAATCCTACATCTTGAAATTCTTCATATAGTTCTCGATATTTCTGATTACTTAAAGCTTTAATAGGTGAGGTATAGATAACCCTTTGTTTTTCTCGTAATGACATGGCTATAGCATACCTATCATAAAAGAAAATAAAAAAAATTATTTCAGGGACTTCTTTTATCACTGATAAGAAGTATTTCTGCATGTTAGAGTTGCAAGATAGGTACAATATTGGGTTTAACAACATGCAATATATTCATTAATTTTAACATTTTTAACCAAAAACATTTTGTGAATAAGGCTGATTTAATGACTTCTGACAAATACCAGATAAATATCAATTTTATCAATTTGAGAGATAAGATAGGCAAAATCATTACTTACACTGCTACCACAGTTTTACCAGCTGATGTATGAGCAGAAACTAAAACAGACTGATAATTCTCGAGACATAATATAGCTTCCTTTTGAAAAGGATCCAAAATAAATGGATATTCTTGGGCAGGTTTATCAGGTGGAGGTTTCAATGGTGTAAATTCTGCATCTGGTGGAATAGCAACCTGCAATAAAAGATATATTATATTTTTGTCAAAAGAATAAAACTGACACAGACTAATTTGTTGAGTTTCATGTTTATGAATTAAAGACTTCTTGTGAATGTAATAATCCACAATAAAATTTAAAACAAAACATCTCAATCTGCATTGCGATAAGATTATAAAAGGGACAGAATAATAGAACAATGGTTGGTTGGAGATCTGACAGACAAATCTTCTTATTTCACATATGACTAGAGTGATTTTCCTAATCTGAAGGAAGAATATTATATCTTACCTCGTGTAAACAGGCCTCAACTGTTTCTACAGTATGAATCTGTATTCTAGGGATAGTATCAAATGTACTGAAATATGACAAAAGAAAATGGGACAAACTTTAAAAGCATATCATTTTACAAATAGAAGCATCAGATTTTAATAACAACATCTGCAAAAAGAAAATTGAATCGTGAGTCACATCAATTTACCTGATTTCATCCACCATAGTTTTCTGTTTCTTAGTCTCTGTCTCTTCATCTTGTGATGATTCTTGTACAGGTCTTTTCTGTATTATTTGGTGCAGAAGGTCTTCTGCCCTGTATTTGATAAGGTATTGAAATGAAATATGCCTTGCATCAAAATTATGGTTTACTATCTTCAAAACTCAACAATTATATCTTTTATTAGAGGCCACTGTACTAATCAGTGAAGGGTCACCGAGTAGACCGAGAACCAGTAAAAGTTCCATACTAGCCAACTGGTCATTTTCACACCGATAAGCAATCATGAACTTTGCCTCATACCTTGACTACAAAAGCACCATTTCTTGTGGAATAATGCAATTTGATTGTATTCAAGTGAATATAGCCAATCAGGGCCTTCGACAGAAAGACTGTAATCATGCCTCATGGTAGATGTGCGTCTACAACTCGGAAATGTAAGCAAGTTTTCAAGAAGAAAATCAGTATGGTTATCACATTCTCACATTGATAGTGACAGTGGAGTGACACAGAAGAGGGGAAGGTCCTACCTCTTCTCATCGCTATCCTTTTTCTTAGTCTTCGAAGATTTTTCTGACTTTGATGCATTACTAGAATCTTCAAAAACATCAAACAGGTCTCCACCAAATGCATCGGCCATACTCGATAATTTTATTCAAAGCAACAAACAAAAATCTAAAATTTACACTTTTAGAAAGGAACCAAAACATTAAAACATGTGTACCGGATGTACATATACAACTTCCGTTAGCTCCGCAGCCAAAATATAAATAAACCAAAAATACGATTGATTTAAATGAAACCCATGCTTCACTATTTAAAACAGTCATAAATAAGCATTTTGTTGATTTTGCTGTGAGAGTTTTAAATATTCAGATTTAAGGAATTTAGGCTTCAAAATCACTGCTTGCTGGTCGTGACGGTCCATAATAGTCATATCGGCCTTTAAGTTTAGTCATATCGGCCCATGAATTTGGTTATATCGGCATAAATATAACTATTTGGGGTCTAAAATAGGTGTTAGTATTGCGCCGATCACACGGATCGGTCAGACAGAGAAGAAATTGAAGAAAATGTGCAAGTGCACTTTATTGATCACACCATAGAACTGTATACTGACAGTATACAGTTCTATGATCACACCCAATTGTTTGATACATAACATTGTAACAATATTGTTTTATAATGTTGTCGTGAAGTTTAAAGAGACACTATGATACACCCCCTAAATTTCTTCAAAAATTAAAAAAATAATTAACAAATAATAATTGACATGAGGTTAATGAAAAATATCAAGAAAGAATAACTTTAATTTTTCATGATTTTGAGAGTCATTAAGTGGTCCTCTCACAAATGCATATTTGTTTTAAAATTAATTACTTGTTTGGTCTATTAACCTAGCTACGAATTTATCGCAAAATAGTTTGAGGTAGTTTCCTGTCATTTTCCTGCTCAGTTCCTGGTCGTTACACGTTTTCTTTGGTCGTTTCTGGTCGTTTCATGTTTGAGTAAGTACTAACTGAAACATAATTCTGCTGGCGAAATTTTGGAGAAATTAAAAAAAACAAAAAAACGCTGAAACAAAATTCTGAAAATACGTGATAGACTGCTGAATAATGGCACAAATACCCTGCCATATTTTTCAGTGTTGCATATTTCGCAAACCTAAAATATAGTTCTACCTACTCATGAGTCATTGCTTATAATTACTAAACACGACTAAACACTTTCATGAGACACTTTAGATACAAATTTTCATGATCATGTAACCCACTACCGAATGAAAAAATGTCTGGGTTACTTCTATTAAATATTATAATAACTGCGGTTATTTCATTGCAGAATAATCTATATTGGGTATAGCATAACTTCAACCGAAAGACTCTTCAGGTTTAGGCCTTCCCTTTATAGAAACTGCCAACGACTGGATGTTGGCAAATTCTTTATAAATGCAAACACTATTTGATAAATAATATATCCGGCTATGGATCGGTTGTTAACATTTTTCTAGGTGGGCAATCCATTTTTTTCGGGTTGGGGACCCCCCCCCCCCCCCCCTTATTAAACGATAAAAGAGTCAAATTCTAGTCGCCATATTATTGTTAAGGCCCATACTTGTCTAAACTTGTCTAATTAATTCAACCAAACTCGAAATATGAGGGTTAAACTGAAGAGTGGGAAGATATTCATTTATTTGATGAATCTGATATGAGAACTGCTACTGTAGTATTAATATTGTCTTTGTACCAGTCAATCTTGTGAACTTACCAATCTATAAGATGGGTGCTAAATTTCTTGACAGCGGATTAAAAACGCATCATTTTCCTTAATTTATTTGTTTACTTTATATAGCCCGAATTGGCGCCTCAAACTGCGCCATTAATCTGAAAATAACACTATTCATAACCCTTTTTTAGGGTGTTTGTAGTAAATCTTTTGCTTGGTCTGTATCCAGACTGGAAGGGGACTATATGTAGAGGAATAAATTAAACCATAGACCTGGTATGAGTCATTCAAAGTAGCTTATGGCATAGAACTTTTTAGCTAGCCCTCGAAAACTATGCCTGAAATAAGACTTACAAAAGCTTATGAAATCCGAAATGTTTTTGTCCTGATTAATGTAGTTATTATGATATGTATACATTTATTTAACTATGGTATGTATTGAATATAGAATAATTAGTGTTAATCACATTAAAAAAAAATCATTTTATTGCAATCAATTTGATATTTGTTATGCCTACTAAAAATTATTCATGTTTTGTTTACAATAGGCCTACTCTTTAAGTATTGAATGAAACTTATTGTAATGTATTGACAACTTTTGACAATTAGTTAAAACATTAAGGGCCCCAAGGAGAGCTGGTTTCGGACTATACCGGGAAGGTTTGATTGACCCGGAAATAATAACCGGCTGACGCAAGGTGCGAGAAACAGTTCCGTATATAAATATTGGTGTTACACGTTGTTGGATTTAGTTAGTGTTGAATATTTACAGACTAATACTTCAAAAATACTCAACGAAAATGGTTCTCGATATTGAACAGTTTCGATCAGAAAAGGGTGGAGATCCTGCTAAAATCAAGGAGAACCAGTCCAAAAGATTCAAAGATGTTACATTGGTTGATCAAGTTGTGGAAAAAGATGTTCTGTGGCGTCAACTACGGTTCAAAGCTGATGAATATAACAAAATAAAGAATGCCTGCAGTAAAGTTATAGGTGAAAAGATGAAGAAGAAAGAAGCAGTTGGAGATAATGACAATTTGCCTGCTGAAATTGCAGACAACATCACTGATTTGACAGCTGATAAGTTAAAAGAATTGACAGTTACACAAATCAAGAAAATTCGACTGCTAATTGATGATTTGATGAAGAAGAATGATGCAGAGATGAACGAGGCTCAAACATTAAGAAATGAAACAATGAGAGAAATCGGGAACATGTTACATGAGTCAGTTATTGTCAGCAATAATGAAGATGAGAATGGAATTGAAAAGACTTTTGGAGATATTGAATCAAGAAAGAAATACTCTCATGTTGATTTGGTAGTCATGGTAGATGGTGTTGATACTGAAAGAGGCTGTGTAGCTGCTGGAGGAAGAGGCTACTTTTTAAAGGGACCACTTGTATTCTTGGAACAAGCTTTGATTAACCATGCATTGACCTCCTTATATAATAATGGTTATGAACCACTTTATACTCCCTTCTTCATGAGGAAAGAGGTCATGCAAGAAGTTGCTCAATTGTCTCAGTTTGATGAAGAATTATATAAAGTTTTAGGGAAAGGAAGTGAAAACAAAGATGACGGAAGCATTGATGAGAAATACTTAATTGCTACTTCTGAACAACCCATTGCTGCTTTTCACCGAGATGAATGGATTCCCACCGAATCATTACCATTAAAATATGCTGGTTATTCAACATGCTTCAGACAAGAAGTTGGCTCCCATGGTAGGGATACACGGGGTATTTTCCGTGTACATCAGTTTGAGAAGGTGGAACAGTTCTGTATTACTTCACCACATGACAACATATCCTGGGAGATGTTTGATCACATGATCGAGAATGCCGAGGAGTTCGTCAAATCTCTGGGAATTCCCTACAGAGTCGTTAATATTGTGTCTGGTGAATTAAATAATGCTGCAGCTAAGAAGTTGGATTTGGAGGCATGGTTTCCAGGCTCTGGTGCCTTCAGAGAATTAGTATCATGTTCAAACTGCACTGACTACCAAGCTAGAAGATTACGTGTTCGTTATGGACAGACAAAGAAAATGAATCAAGAAGTAGATTATGTACATATGTTGAATGCTACAATGTGTGCAACTACTCGAGTGATCTGTGCTATACTTGAAAATTTCCAAACAGAAGATGGTGTGGTAGTTCCAGAAATCTTACGGAAGTTCATGCCAGAAAAAATTAAAGAAAAGATTCCATTTTTGAAACCTGCACCAATAGATGAACAAGAATTGAAGAAACAGAAGAAAAATAAAGAAAATATTGGAGATGGAGTAACGAAAATGACAATTAATTAATGTGATAGTATTATAGTAAGCTTTATTAAGGTGTAACCCTAGTAATTATCAATCAACAGTTTGAATATGAATTGTTAGTCTTCATCAATGTTCTTTCAAAAACTTTCAGTAAAAAGTGTTTCTCAAATTTCAGTGGAATTGCTCAAAATAGTCAATGAATGGTGCAGATTTTGTTATTTCGTCAGGATATCTCTCATTGAATTCAACAAACAGTTTAAATTGTTATGTTAAATTGACACTTTGGATTGATAAAAGTGAACTAAATTATACAGTTCTATTGTATTTTTACATTATACTAGTATACTGTAGTTTCCAAAAGTGCTGCTTACATAATATTTATTTATTTAATTTACCTACAAAGTTTCGATAGTTAAGCTCATTTGAAAAACTAAAAATAGGCATTGCAAATCTTTTAGAATTTTGAAATGAATATTATGCTTCATACGCTTTAAATAAACAATGCTCTATATTATAAATTTCTATTGATTTTTGTTAATTTATAAATAGTCATTTTTTTATGACCTATAAAAACTGCTTATGCTTTTAAATGTTTCCTTAGCATTGTATTTTATATGAAATGTATTAGGAATAACAGTGCTGACATATAGAAAACAATACAACAACAAAATAAACAGGAATATATTCTGATTTCACACACTTCTTTGACAACAAAGTGCCCTAACATTTATACCACAATAACTTCTTTGTGTTTTTTGTTTTGTTTTTTTATATGTGCTCTAAATGTTGTTAAAATCTTTACTAGTGTTTTCTAATTGAATAGCCTTAATTGTTTCCATTGAACTGTCACTTATGAAAATAGCTAAACAATCAGTTGTTAAGATTAAAATTGTTTTCCATACAATTATTTTGAAAATTGAGTAACTTATATAATAAAATTAAAGTTGTAACTATTTATTTCTGAATAAAATGAGATTTGGATTTTGAAAGTATAATTTTGAAATACTTTTGTCACACTTATTAGTTGTAATAGACGTGATAAATATTCATTGAGCTATTTGTTTTCCATCTGTACTATTTATGAAAATATAATTAAGTTGGCCAGTGACAGTAGAGAAGCCCAGATAAATTCATTGATACCTAAAGGAGCCATAGTTTTGAGCTCATCCAGTGTAGTTCTGTTCTACTGCTTTCCTTTGTGGCTGACCCCATTTCAGGATCATGATTTATGATCCTGATAATTACATCAATATGTATGTCATAATACCAAATCATATTTCAATTTCATTCACTATTCAAAGATTTTATTTTATAAAATGATGACTGTTATCTATGGAGTGAGAAAGCAAATTTCTTACATTGCCTTTATTTTAAAAATCATCAAAAACTCTAGACTAACAGATTAGCTAGAATTAGCTGCCCATGAAACATGATGAATATCTGATTTTGTTTTGTTAAATCACTGTTTATCTTATAAATAATTTAGTCTAGCATTCAACACACCTCCCTTAATTATATCACACAGAACATATTAAAATAATTTATTCTCTCATACTTTTGAAAATTCAGCAATATTGTCTATAAGACCAAAATCTTTAGCTTCTTCAGGAGACATATACCTATCACGTTCCATACAATCTCCTATAATAAAAAATATAAAATAATCAGACGAATTGCTACAGAGTTTGGGTACAGAGGCCTTATTCTCAAAAATTCAACTCAATAAAAAATCTAGATTTTTAGTAATATAGTCCTGTAATTGGAAAAGTTACCAGAATATGATCACATACTTAATTGAACGCCATTTAAAGGCCTGACTCAAAACAGAATCACACAACAGTCAGCATCTCATTCAAATGACAACAGTGTAATGCCTGACATAAAAACAAGCACAAATAAGACTTACGTATAGTCGTTTCAGATTGACCAGTATGTTTGGCATATATAGTATTTAATTTCTTCTTCAATTTTAAAATCATTTCAGCTTGAATTTCTATATCTGTTGCCTGGCCCTGAAAGATATAAATTTAACAACAATATAAGTTATAAGATCCAGGATTCTACAAATTTAATAATCAAATAAAACTTAAATGATTTACTATTATCTTTTAGTCACAGTTGAGCTAAAAATCCTAAAATGCAGAGTTTGAAATGGATAAAATAACATCAGGATGACGAAATTGATTTTACAAAAACTAAATGACAGAAAGGAAAGAGCATACCATAGCTTGTCCTGAAACTTGATGAACCATGATACTGGCATTAGGTAAAGAAAATCTCATGTCTTTTGTTCCCGCTGTTAATAATAATGACCCCATACTACTGGCTTGACCAACACACCATGTTGAGATAGGAGCTGTTATATATTGCATTGTATCATATATACCTAACCCTGCTGTTACAGACCCACCTAGTGGCATAAATAATAAGGACATATATATTATGAAAGCTGCTTAAAATAATATAAGATTTACAAGATATATCAGATTGTACACCATTTATAAATAAAATAGACATGAGTTTTATTGTCTTTTTCTCATCGTATAAAGGCAATGTCAAGGAGAGATATTTCATCACCCTAGCAGGATTATCTAGAGCTTAAGTAATAAGATACATGTAAATCATTTAGTAAAAAGTTATTGATACATGTAGCTAATACCTATGAAGGTCATTTATAAGCCGAAACAACCATTTCATATTCATTGAGCTAGGTGATAAGAGTTTACATGAGAGGTGTAACACGTTAGCTTGATAATAAGGTGGGGATGAAAGATATCACTTACCAGGACTATTGATATACATATGAATTGGTTTTTCACCATTCTCTGATTGAAGATATAATAACTGAGCTATGATTTCATTTGCTACTGGATCACTTATCTAGTGGAAGAAATAAAGTTTTATTTGAGAACAGAGAGGCATTCTAGTAGCAGAACTAGTATGTGAATAAATAGCAAAAAGCCTAGGTATTGAAATCTGGTAATATTATATCTTGAAAGTTTCTAAATATCTATATTCATTCATTCTGCCAAACTATCAGTATATTCAACGAGGTAATATCAACCCTTGGCATTCTTCAACCTTCTTTTTGTTTATGAAAGTGAATAAAAAGTCCAATTTAATCAAATGACTAGCCATTACAAGCTGGGGCCAATATCATTCAGTCCCACAGTGAAGAAATAGATACATACAGGCTGCATTACACATATAACTCTTTCTTGTAAAAGACGGGAAAATATGCTTATATCTCTATAACCTTCTTGCATGTAGGGAAGATTCGTTTGAACTGACTTGTGAAAACATCTTCTGACATTGGCAATTAGATGCGTCTTAATAATCTGTAAAATATAAAAGTTTAAAATTTTAGTGCCAAATTGTCATTTTCATATTACCATTACTTCATATTCTCTTTATGATATGATAGGCTGACAACAAAGACAAAAGGCAAACAACACAAATCCCATATTACAGAGAATTTTTAAGAGTAAAACTTGTATATAGAATAGTCAGAATGGATGGGCCCAAATATGACTACTGCTTAAGAGTGATGACTGTAAAATTAATCTTGCTTGATTGAATATCCTGGCATCTTCTGGAAGTAGGCATGTGGTTTACAATACATGCATGCATTGTGAAGTATAGTAGAAGTATTTTCACAACATAATGGGGGTACAGGGCTGGAGAAGATACTAACCATTTTTTTCATTACATTCATGCTGAAGATGATCAAGGATTCAAGGGAAATAACTACAACCAATATTATTTTTATTTACTGTTCGAGCCAGAAACCGTATTACTTCCTCGCTTCTCCGCTGTAAACTTTGAATTGTATACCCCAAAAAAGAATCTTGATTTCGAAATTAACCTGCTTAGTGTCACATTGAAACCAAATAGTTGTAACAGATGTAATGATAACCATGGAATATCTTATTTCAATAGAATGCAATGGTTCTACAATTACTGGCAGTATTGTAGGAATATAAGTAAAGTAGTGCTGTCTGTAGTTTCGGACACCCGGACGCCCAAAGCTGAAGTTCGTAGACAAAGTGGGACTGGATATTAGAGGCTAGGCTATCCGTATCCAACATGGCTGGAATGTAAACAGAAAATTTTATTGAAATAATTGAATGGAAATCAAGTCGTTTTGAATTAGCTCTTTATGATGACATCATCCGTCAGAAGAAATACGTATGTTTTAGGAGGGTGTGTTGAATTTTTATAAAATATAGACCTGCAGGAAATCGGGATTTCGAGAAATGATTACAAAACTTGCCAAAGTGAAAGAGCTATATAAAAAATAGTCCGAAACATTCTGACTCTTTTCGCTCTTCATATGAAGCTGCAATTTTGATATTCAGTGTCAGCAATCGAATCAGAGAGCCAATGAATAGCTTCACACATTTGTAAATGCTGGATATAAACACAGCACCTGCTTCACACATTTGTAAATCCTGGATATAAACGCAGCACCTGCTACAGACCAACTAATGCAACCAAATGTCAGATTTGTGGTAGGCCTATATGCTTCCTCAAAGATTCGTTATTATTACAGTCGTTTATGTCATTAATTTAATATTTCAGCAACATCCAAGGCCCAACAATTCATAACATTCCAAACAGTATGGAAATGAGTCGAATTGAAAGACAGAATATGATGAGAATGCGAATCAACAGGATAGCTCTTGTTCAAGAAATTAAGGTGGAACACATAATACCAGTTTTAAAAGACGCAGGTGTCCTTTCAAAACAAGATGAACAAAAGATTAATACAGGTTCAACAATTCAAGATAAAGCCAGACTTCTTATTGATATTATTCCAACCAAAACAAAATGTGATTGGTATCAGTATTTTGTATATGCTTTATTAAACTCTCTGGGGGATTCTGAATCTCATCAGCGATATCAAATTCTTGTTGATTTTCTTGCCAACACTTTTATACCTCAACCTAACTCTACACCACTTAAAATCAGTTTGACAGATTCACAAGTTGGAGATCTGAAGTTACCAAAATATGACAAACTGCCAGATATAGGAAATACAGAAAATTCAAACCAAAGGGAAGATTCTGATGAAGTATCAAGGGAGGAAATCAAGGAAGAAGCTGGTTCTGTGAATATTTTGGTAATTGATGGAACTGGATTTAGAATGAATGAGAATGGTGAGATTGAAATTGAAAGAAACAATGAGTCTGATGTTGAGAATAAATTATTACAGAGCACCGGATCTTATAAATTTGATGACAAAATTTCTACTGATCAAACAAGTGTTGCTGATCCACAGGCTTCAGAAACAGATTCCAATGAGCAAAATATGATTAAACCAGAAAATTGGGCTTCCAGATTAGAAATCCCTGACAGATTACTGAATGTTTTACAGACAGAAGGAGATCAAGACTTAGTAGAACAGGAGAACAAAGTCCTGCTAAAAATGCAGAATTTAGAAATGATTTTAGCATTGAAAGAAGAGTCAAAGCTTCCAGAAGATTTCCAGATTGCCACTTGTAATGCTTTGGGCGCCATATTAACTGAACCATTTTACTACCATCATTATGTTAAATATTTTAAAATTTTGAAATCGTTACCAAGAGATATTGTATATTCCTATCATTCTATGCTTCAATCAATTGGAACATTTGAAAAAACTGATGAATGTAATGAAATCATGAAAAGTGGAATTCTGCTGTCAGATTTCCTCATGGAATTGAGTTTATTTTCTGAAGCAGAAAAAATAATTGTTAGCATTTTGAATTTTCTCAACACAAATCAAGGTATAGATACATGGATGCTGAAATACCAAGCAGCAGTCAAATTGACCCAGATCCAGAATAAAGATTACAACTTTCAAGGAGCAGAACAAGCTTATTTCCTGGCTGTCCAGACGACCTGGCCTATTCAGTTGATGACTTTTGGTAAAGATTTGATATCAGAAGGAGATCTTTTAATGGAACTCAGCCATTACCAATTGGAACAAGGTTCAATATCTACTGGGTTTGGTTGGGCCAAGAGAGCACTTCAGGTATTGATATGATTCGTCATTTTTAGCTTAATATTTCCTCTTTTTCCATAAATTATGTTGTCTTTAAGTTACACATGGTGCTTGTGTGCATCCAAAGAATTCTTGCACATGAATGTTTTTAAGGTTCAGTGTTGTTTAATTACAAAGTAATATATATATATTATGATGTCTAGGTTTTATTTAAAATTCACTTCATGCTGCTTTATTGACGTCACAATTTTTGGTGAAATGCTTAGCTGAGTGTTATACATTTGCTTAGCTGCTTTTAGACACCTCTTGTCCTATTATATTCAATAACCTATCACTTATCTCATATTCATCCCCTATTTTCTATATTTTCTTTTTAGGAACTATCAAGTACTAATCATATTGGTATTATAAATGGATTATGTAATGGTGTAATGGCTTACAGTAGTAAATTACAGATAATGAAAGCTAGAGATATTGCAGTACAAGCTGTTTTACTGGCAAAGTAAGAATGATTTTAAAACAAAACACATGTGGAAGTGTCTTTTCCACTCAAAGATCGACTCTTGACGTTGTAAATTTATAGTAAGAAGCCTTTGATAGGATGCTAAAATCAGAGTTATATGTTTATCATTTATACCCTGGGTTTAGTAGTGTGACAATGGGAAAAAACAATTGATATAGTGTAGGTGAGATATATACTTGTTGATGTGTTAAATTTGTTATTTTATGACATATTTTCAATGTTTCAGGAGTTATTTTGGAAGAAACCATCCTATGTATTTAAAAGCTTTGTTGTATTTATGTCATTTTACCAGTGAATATGTTCATGAAGAAGTCACTATACACATAGCTGAGGTAAAGTATAAGAAAGTGTCATAGAAAATGTTGTAGAGTATGATTATACTGGAGAGTACAGTACGTTAAAGATTATCCAATGAAAATTTTGCATTAACTGAATGGAAAAAAGTTTATACCAATTGATTTTATTTATAAGAACTTTCTGGGGATCCCCCTCAGATCATTGGGCTATGGCACTTACCCTAACACTGGCAGTTGTCCCCTATTAAGTCAGTTTGCATCCTATTTTTATCCCCAGCTCCAGGAGGCTGGTACCGCCACTTAATTCTCATCTTACAGTTTACACGCCAAGTCTGTGATATTATATTATTTTAGATGACATTACAACTGGCCTGGAAGTTATATGGTTGTGAATGTTTACAAGTAGCTCTAGCTCATCGTGCTCTATCTAAAGCTCTGATGTTATTACATAGATTTGATAATGATGATTATTATGAACATGCTATGGAAGGAATTAGAATAGCTCGGATTGTCTTTGGTAATCAGCATTCAATCCTTCATCTTTTTCTACATACCTTTGGTAAGTTTCTTATTTTTAAAGTCAATTGAAGAATTTGGTTTTCATCATTTAGTACACCATGTTACTGTAAAAACAATCGAGTCTGTCAAGGTACAAGCTGTGTTATCTAATTTTCAATAATCTGCAAAGATTATGGCTGCCACTTGTGGGAAGCAACTGCGGCTTAGTGAGTTAGGGGCTTGTTCACTAACCTGAAAGGCCAGGGTTGAACTCTGACATAGGTCAAGATAATACCCTCAAAGTTTTAAACTCTGTCAGTTGATGAAGAAAAGTAGGATGTAAAAATCTATTCATTTCTTTTGCTAACAGTAGGATTTGAAGGTTGTACGATGCATTTTTCTTTGACAGCATCTGCCTTACAATGGAAAGCTATGAATAGTGTTGAAGAAGTGAAAGATTCCACCTTGCTGTGGGCTGAAACTGAAGCTAAACATGCTTTATCAATAGCAAAATCTTGTTATGGAGAAATATCACTAAGAACAGCTCAGATGCATACCTTATTAGGACATATTTACTCTTCAATGAAAAGGTAAATTACTCATTAAATACTTGCATATACTTGATAGTGTCTATGAAATGAATTGTCCTTTTCTGAAAAATAACTACTAGGCTTAGTCTCAATCTAAGACAATTAAAGGAAATCAATTTCAATCAATTGAAGACATTAAAATTTGTCCGTGTCAAAGTATATTGAGTTGTTTGTTAATAATATTAATATATGTCATTCATTTCAGTCATCCAGATCCTAGTGTCAAATTGTAAGTATTTTTCAATCATATGAGTGTCAATTTAACGCATTATTGGTCAAATTGATTACCGTCCAAAAACTATTATTAAACTAATAAAAGCTCTGCCTTGAAAAAGAAATCGATCTAGAGCAGGAATTAATTGCTTATGTCCCTCCCCAGCATGTGCTCATGATAATTTGCTTTACCATCTTTAGAATGGGTTTGATATGTTATGTTATAATTGTTTTATATCAGATGTATATTATTTACATGTACCGGGTATTTATTTTCTGATAAACAAAAATTTTCAGACCAGTAGATGCTGAAACCAATCTAAAGAAATCTGTGAGTGATATGAAATTATGTCAGTCACCTAAAAGTCAGTTTTATTTACTGTCTGTTGCCACATTAGGTATATACTACACAGTAGAAAATAGACCACAAGAAGCTCTACGATATTTACATGAAGTTATTGACAATGTTGGTAAGTTACAATAAAGTCATTTTACAGAGGTTTGGTGAAAACATCATAAGAACTTTACCCACTTTTTGTCCAATCAGCATTGGGTAAATGCTCTATTAAGTGGAAAATTATTCATTAACAATTTCTCAATCATGTGACATTTTAACTGACAGCTAACAGTAAGTTTTAAGTAATTTAGATCATATGTAAAATTTCCTTGGTAGGTTGCTTCGCTCTACAAAATTTTATTTAATATGATCTAAATACAACTAAAATTGAAAACAAAATTGCAAATTGTAAAGGCTAAGGCGCTTAGACTGTTGGGGTGACCATCAAAATAAATTATAACTTTGATTGGTGTACTGAGGCTGCAACCTTAAAATTACCAACACAGCTTTTAATTCTTTTGTCATATATCTGTTTAAGATTCCAATGGGATTTATATTTGGTGGATTCATGCCTGTTATCAACATCTGATTGACTCTTATAACCAGCTTAATTATAACACTGCAGCCCAAGAGATAATAACAGATAAGATGAATCAATGGCTGGACAATCATACCAAACAAGAAGGGCTGATAACTCTCACTGACTTAGAAGATCAGGCTATGCCTTTTGATGAGTTTTTACAAAAAATTGACAGTTGGGGCTCAAAAGTGAAAAAGGTCATGGTTCAAAATGATGAAACAAATGGACAGTTAAACTGAGCTTTTATTTTATCCATACTCATGTTACATGATCTATGCAAATGTTAATTTTTCAATTTTGTTGCCAATGTCTTTGTTAGTGTTTATTATGAAACGTTTTTGTTTACTATAGTTTTTAATTTTAGTCTTTCTGATTATCCATCTCAATTTTAGCATATTATGTAGATATTTTTATTAAAATTAGTTTATCCTAAAAAATAATTACTATTTCAAAATTTCTCTAGCTAATTATTTCATGTAACAAACAAATAACAATGTGTTTTAATCAAGGATACGAAATATACCCAACATTTAAATTTATTATAGTTTTTCTAGATCTAGGTTGGTTCTTATAAGCAATCTATTAGTATAATGTGGTTCCAATTTAGGCAGTTACAATGACTTATTAGAAGTGACGGTGGAAGGGAACCATTTAATTTATTTACTGTAAACTAAGGCATTGTATTAGGTGTTGTAGAAGATACTCTCTGTAAAAACTCTGGCCTATTTTTTTAATAATTTTTTCATGATTTATTTAACCTCCTAACCAGGTAGTTTATGTGATATTTTATTAATAATTTGTTGTTTGTTAGAAAACTGTGATATTTTTACCAGATTATTATCTATAGTTTATTTTCTTTATTAAAAATAAAATTGTTTTTTATTGTATACTTAATATAATAATGCATTGAGTCAACAGTGGTAACAGAATTTTTTCCAGATTTAAGGAAAGAAGGTGTGAGCATTATACACTATATTTGCAATGGAATTAGAAACTGCTATTGCCTTGAGATTAATGGAAGACAAAATTGCAACACGCTATCAACAAGCTGAACCATCTCAGGAACATGTTTTTATGTTCAACACCATTCATAGACTAACAATTGTGATTACTGAAAACAGTTTATTTCCTGAAATGCATGGCACTATGGAACATAAATATATGATTAGTAAATATCACATACGAAAGCAGCAATTGAACATTGAGCATGGTGTACAGTGTAAAAATCTTGCGATATATAGGGCACTTAGTGAACACAAACACAACTCTGGTATATATAATTCAAGTTTTGACGTAATGAATAATCTTTAAGTTCTGTTAAAAATCGATGTCTATAACAACTGGGGAAATATTATTGTAGAACTCATACAATTATTCGAATTTTCAGTGATTTGACAACTGTCACTAATACAATTTTATGAAAAGCACTAAGTGATGACTTGATCCAGTAGTAGACTGTATTAAGTAACTATTCTAGATCGTAGATGTTCTAACAAGGCCGGTGTACCTTTAGATAATATAGCTGGTCGTGGATTCCGTATCATATTGCCCAGTAACAGTAATGATCTACAATGGAAAATATTAAAAAATTTTAAACTTAATGTTAGATTCAAGATTAAAAATGTCCACTACTAAGCTTAAAGTTTATAGCATTCAAATGGGGAAAATCTTTCAAATTCAAAGCAAAATTTGGTAACTACGGTATTTGAACTTTGCATATTTATCTTGCCCAGCTGTAAGCATTAGAAAGCGCAGTTTTTTATTGGTTGTTGACATTTTCAACTTCTTCAACCTGATAGAGCTTGATGAGTAGATATTTAAAAGTGAAATCCTATTTTTTCCTTGTTATCAAATAATTCTGCGTAAAACTAGTTCGAGAATAAAACAAAGATCTGCAGGCTTTACACAATGAGATATTATAGAATCTAACTTACTTCAATGGACAGTTGCCAAGTTCTGGTGGTACTTGTGTGATACTATTATTTTGTAAATCTAGAGTGGCTAGGACAGGTAATCTAGATAAACCATTAACATCTATAACTTCTATTTTATTATCATTAGCAAACAATATCTCTAATTTTACTAGCTGGTATATAACTTCAGGAATCTTTGTGAACCTTAAAATTGAATACACTAAAATGTACACAGAAATGGAAAGAAATGTATACAACCTGCCATATGAGACAATATGAAATGAACATAGGGCTTTACATTTCCTTAGACACACAATGATTTCAATATCATGATGAAAAATGCAGTTATCAATGCCAAAGTCTTAATAATAAAATAGGTGAAAACAATACTCCTGTAAGAAACAGAATTTGGAGTTCGCAATTTTATTTTCCATTTCAATGCCATGTTATAACCATGCCATGTCACAAAATTCAGTCATCAATGCCAAAGCTTCAATGAGACCTATTTGATTTCACTAATACAAGAAATGATGAATTTACCTGTTACAAGAAATGATGATCTCTCTCAACTTAGTAAGATTTGATATTTGATCAGGTAAATCTGTTAATATGTTACCACTGAAATTATTAAAGGGAGTTAATCATATACAAGTTAATTGGATTATGGATAAGTCCACCATTTGTGGATAAAAGAATTTGATTTTGCCAGAGATAAATTTTTCAAGGAAAAGGCATTTGGCCAATTCTTTGTCATAATGGGGCTCAACTATCTTGCAATATTTAATATCAAACAACAATGATATCTTACCCCAGATCCAAACACATCAAATTAGTAAATAATCCAATTTCACCAGATAAATTAGATATTTTATTATTAGATAGATGTAACTCTGTTAGAAAACCAGACAAACATTTCAAACTGAAAATATACACACAGAACAGTTAATAATAGTCTCAAGAGACAGTCTTTTTATTCTGTTTCTCTATGGGCTGAATAACTAATGCCACGTAAAATAAAATTGGGAACATATGTCCAACTGTGTTCAGGTCTTTAATGGATGAGAACTAGGTTGTTTTGTTTCTCTGAACAACCAGAAGGTTCATCTTTTTAAGCTTCTTGCACAATCAACATAGACTGGGTTGATCCAACACAAGTAGCAACAAAGGGATAGCAACACCTTAAAGACAGCAGGGCTCTTGCCACAAACAATCTATTACTACATACTTCGAAGGCAGATCAATGAAATTATTTTTCTGTAAAGTTACATTATGGACTTCTGCTTTTTCTGCTGCCTCCAGAATATCACTTGGAATCTCTGTAGCTTGTTTCTTACTGGAATGGTATGATACAATAAACTTCAAAACATAATCATAAAAGCTATTGATTTGAGACAAAATTACAACTTTAATATGATGTTGATACATGATTCAGATGTAAAAAATCATTTGGATACCAGTAGTTGGCTCTAAACAGGATCAGTCGTTATTCAGAAACAGTACATGTAGGGTACTTTCATTTTGATATAAAGTGGAGTTCTCTTCCTACTGTTCTGCAGGAATGGGCAACAGCACTCAGTATGAAAATTGTGCATCTTTTAGATTTCTAACTAATGAAGTCAGAAATAAAACAAACAATTTTTTGCAAGGCTAAGATTAAATTAACATACCTAAAATCTAATGTTTTCATTTGATACATCTCATGAGATCTACCTGAATCACTACCTCCTATTATACCAGTATTACTACCCTGTTTCTCACTGTTACCATTGGTTACCAGATCAGGTTCCTCTATTCTACTGCGTAAATATTTCTTTAATTCCATTGTTCCTCTCTAAAATAGAGACATAACTAATTAAAATCTAAATCCACTCTTATGTCTTGAATTATTTATTAAAATTTGATCTAGCTTTCTGTTATGTGATAACCACTTCGTCTCTGGATGACACAAGCTGTGACCTCCCAACCCTTTTTTTTCTCATAATAAAACTTAGCCTTGTCACAAAATACCAGTTGAAGGGTCATAATATTGCCTTAAGAAACAGACATAGCAGGAAAACAACTATCTCACCATAATGATGTCTCTTCTAATAGATTTCATGGGGTTACCATCTAAAACTAATGATTTCAATGAATTGATGTTTCCAATGCAATATGGTAATCTAAAAACATGTAAATAATTTAACAAACTCGAATGACACACACAAAAAAAAACCACATTGTAATTGTAATACAATCATGTCTAATGGGGCCCAACTATCATATTTTATCAGCATCAATTTAGTGAAATTCATTGTGCTAGCTCATCATTCTTATTGATTGCTGTCTCTCTTATTCTTACTGAGGGTTCTGTTGTACAGTCTGTTATAGCATTAGAAACTGTGGAATAAACTTTCTATCTTTCTTTTTATCCTCATACAGAAGAATATAAGAAAGCTTAACCAGATAGTGACATGACTCATATTGTGTCAATGTTTCAAGCAGCCTTTACAATGCATTTCCAAAACTCTTGACAAATTTTTTAACAAAGATTAAACATCCATCCATTTTTTCAGGCATACACATCTACAAGAGAATGCTTTCCCAAGCAATAACAACAAAATAACCTCTACTTACCCACTTATATCATTATTAGTAAGATCTAATCGTTGTAGGTCTTGTAACAGTGTTATTTCATCTGGTATTTGACATAGTTTATTATCACGTAAATCTAATACATTAATAGCTGTTAAATGTTCTAAATGTTCTGATGTGATTCCTTTTATATTATTATTACCTAAATGAAGTTCCTGAAGTATACATATATTCTATGATAAAGGTGAGTCTAAAAGTTCTTTGCATTTCTTAGTACCATTTGGTTTCATGTAGTACAAGAAACATTCCAAACCACTTGCACACATGGATTCATTAGGAAAAAATTCTTCAATCAGATGAAAGTCGCTCTGATTTTTAAGGAATTTATAACTTACTTTCAAATTGGTACAGTTCTCTAATATTGGTAGATAAGATAGTCTATTATGACGAAGATACAGAAGTTCTAAATGACGAAGATTACCAAATTCTTGTGGCAACTGAGTAAGTTGATTATGAGTTGCATCAAAATATTTTAATCCTTAAAATACAATATAATATTCCTTTATATCAGAGTACACTATGAAATATTATATGTTAAGTAATTTGGTGTCAAAAACTCAGCTGTTATGCAATTTCATTTCTTTTAAAATTGTAAATTGACATGTAAAATGTTTACAGAAGGAGTTCCTGTCTGTTTAAACTTCCATTTGAATGCCAAGGGGTTATGGTAATTTATTTTGTATTCAAAACATGCATTGAAAGCATTTTATGAGCTTGTATCATGAGGTCAGATGATATTAGAATCATCTCAGTGGTTTTAAAAACAAAGAAAGCTAAGGTTCCTACCCGACATATCTCCGATCTCAGGTGGTAAGGCTGTAATTTTATTGTTGGATACATTTAATTTAACAAGATTTACCAGATAGCCTAAAGCTTGAGGTAATCTTGTCAATTCATTGTTAGATACATCCTGAAAACAATAACAACACATGGTGATAAAAATAATTACAGAAATGGAGGTAATGTACTGTTATTTTTCACTTTATAGGGCTGTTCAGGTGAAGTGTCCAAAAAGGGAAATTTAGTCACACTAGTAAAAAAAAAAAATTAGCTCTTTATTTTTTAATGTACATGCATATCATATTCATAAAGCACAGAGATTTTAGTCTATACTTACTAAAGTAACATAGAATTTACTGAATCTAATGACTTAAAAAACTTACTAAATCTTCCAGTTTTTGTAGACACTTTATTTCATCACAAAGTTGTGATAGTTGATTATATTCTACATGAAGACTGACTAGAGATGTCACATAACCTAAAGCTGGTGGTAGTGTCTTTAAATTATTACGACTGTAATTAGAAAATTACTGTCTTTGAGATGATGAAGCTATGGCTAACTCATACATGCGTTTCATTTTGACACCAGCTATGCATACAAAATGCATTTTCCAAAACAATATTGATCAAGTTGTCTTAACAATTAACATAGACAGAGCCACAAACACAGCCCAAGGCTTCACTATATAAATATCATAAAAAAGATGTGTGAAAAGGGGCTAATTCTATCAAGAGTTAATATAATAATGATTAATGAAATGTCAGTTTCATTGCAGCATAATGAATTTATTTACCTCACATCCAGTTTTTGAAGATTTTCTAATGATTGTAAGGCTGTTGGTAAAATTTCAAGCTTATTGTCATGTATCTAGAACAATAATATGTAATAAAAGAAATCATGTTTCACAGTTAGAAGCCCAAATTAATCTTATTAATTTTCATTATTTCCTATTCAAAGAAAATTTAAACTTTAAATAACATTCACTTTTGAAATATTTCTTATGACAGAAATATCTAGAATTAAGCTATATATACTATTTTTCAAAGGTGTAAATGTTTTGTATTTTACATTTTCACCTTAAAAACCTAACAGATTGCTTTCCTGAATTCTATAATCATATTATCATCTTGTTAAGTAACAGGAATAGGAATATAGTATAGTATTGGGAAATACTTCTGGAGGAGTCAGTTCTATAACCTATTTAACATAGCTAATAAAAGTTTAAATAAATATCAAATTGACAAGGAAATATTTCTTCAAGACAATAAATCGTGTCAAAGAAAAACAACTCACGTCAAGAACTGTCAAAGCTGGAAAGTTACTGATATCATTAGGTATGGTTGTTAATGTATTTGAAGCTAAAATTAACTTAGTTAAATCTACTTGTTCCCACCATCTATCCTCTGTGTTATCTAATGATATATTCCTAGCTTCTTCTGGTACATCTATATTTATTCTCCACACTTTTTGAGGCACTGCAAAATAATTATGTCAATCTTTTAAAAAATATTAAGAAAAGCATAGTAGGCTAAAGTGTTTAGGAATTTTAGGTTTTAACAGTGCAGTTGAGGATTTAGGGTTTGAAGGTTTAGTTTAGTTGAAGGTACTTCAGATCCAAGGTGGTTCACCAAACTCTTATAGTATTCAAAGATACCTTCAAATAGGAGAGATTACCTTCAGAGAGGCCGCGTCCAGATAAATTTAATTGTCCACTTTGTCTTGCCTGTTTCAACAGAGTATCAAACACAGCTTCTTTCGATTGCTGACTTTGATTTCTAAACCCAGCTTTTTTGTCAAACGGAACCCTGCCACCTCTACCACGACTTGCCATTTTGTGAAACAAACTAAATAAGAATAGACAAGACTTTCTGTTTTGTTAATCAAGTCTGAAACAGTAATTTTTCTTCAAAAAAAAATGATTGTTTACAGATGGATGACTAATTTGATATTTTCAACCTAAGAGTAGAACAAGGGAGATAAGTAAGACGTATTTATAATATTCAGACCACAGTTAACTTTGCGTGCACAGCCGTGTAAGTGTCTTAAGTAACATATACAGCACAGTACAACCAATAGTAAAGCTTACAACCAACATCATGCCATTCATGGTCCTCAGCATTTCCTAGAGATAATAAGATATGTGGTTACTTGTTAGTCTAAGCAATTTTGGCACACCTTGGTAATGGTCTCTCATGATAAGCGCCTAATGGCGCTGCAAATTTGTAACATTGAGCAAAGTCTGTAAATTTACACCTTTGAGTTTGAATTGATGTGGGAGTTTTTTTTTTTTTGTAAAGACCGTCGCACGTGCCCAACGACAACACTGAATAGGTTTAGATATTGCTTGTATTTAAAAATGATCGCGAAATTGACTACATATCGAATGTATTATAGATTATCTATTATACATGTTCACAATTGGAGATGAAAGTCTGTTATTATCAATTTATTCAACTATATAATCATCACTACAAAACACCACGTGACTTACTGACGTCAAACAGAGCTTTAGCAATCAAGAGGGAGGTGAAAGACCTTGAAGCAATTGACAAAAGTCCATTGAAATTCTTCCACACGCGACCGACACGATAAATGAATAAACAGTTATATATACAATTAAGCCACCATTTGATACGAAATGAAAGATTGAGCGTCTCGAAAACAACATTAAATGAAAAAGTGGAATGATTTAGCTCGAGTGGTTCTAGGTTAACTACGATATTCATCCAGAGGTCCTATATAAGAACGCCTCTGCTATTTGACCGGATTGGTTTGACAAAAACTCTACAGAGTTCATCAACACGGTCATAAATAAAGGTAGTCAACACGGATATCCAGTTCCTGTTTTCCTGCAGGATTTAACCTCTTTTACGTTTAATTTTATCAAATTAAATAGGTTTAAAGTATGATAGGTTGTTAAGAAAATGACACAAAAGCATCATAATGGTATACTGATGATGCAAAAACCAACTTATTTCATGGAAGTATATAGGCAATAAGCCATAAGCTCAAGGTCTCGACGAATTGAAGAATTGTAAGGGATGAAAGTTGCACCTTGGATCAAAAAGTTTTGGTCACAGTAAAGTGGGAAAAGCCATTTAAACTCATCTATTTTCTCGGGTCATTGCCCTTTCTCAATAAAAAAAAAGATAATGACAACATATGCAACTTTAACTGTACCGTACACTGCGCTGTTAAAAATAAGTTAGAACCTGTCAAATAACAGTACATTACATGACTGTATGTTGACTTTCCCATATGGATGTTGAATGGACAACCTCAGTCGAGAAGTGTCAACAGCTTCCGAAAGTTTCACTAAGTCATTGCAAGACGTGATGCACCAAGACATCACCAAGAGGCCTAGGCCTTAAATTTACCTTCCCTTCAGCTCTATTAATGCGTGAAGGTCATTTTTTTTTCATTACCATACGGGTTGGCCTAAAAATTGCTGTGATACATTTTCCAATCATGCAGAAAATTATCGTTGCATATCTGCAAATAATCACTTGCATAATATATATTTAATTGTTATCTTGTAAGCAATATCAATAAGGGATATTTGCAGATTCACGTCGATTTCGCTAGTTTTTAGCACCTGTCGAGAAACTAGATGTAAACAAATTTCTATCTTCCAATTTAAATTATGTGTTTTGGTACAGGTAGAACTCAGATCAATACAAATTTAACAGTTTAGTTTAACTGAACTCTGAAACTGACCTTGGAATCAAAGACGAGCACGTATGGAAGCGGTAAATTCGGAAATAATTAGGTCATCGATCATCATCATTTTTGTATGAGTCATTGCTGAATTTTCTCTCATTGCAACATTATCAAGGATAATTATGCTCTTTAAACCGCCTGGTTCCATTTTTGTGGGTGCTATAACTGAAGGGCCTACCTATCTTTTCATTCAATCTAAATGGCAAAATGCCTTACTGACGTCAGACAAGACCTTTTAACAAGTTTCAATATTTTCAATGACGTCAATGATTGGAAGAAGTTGCCGGGTTACTTCCTCGTGGGTTTGTTCCAAGCTTCACGCGACACAAATACTATCATTAAGAAATCATTGTGAATGAATGATGTGACATTGTTTATATATTCGATCTGCGGCAGGTCAGAGGTACACGAGTACATTTTATTGATAAAAGTGATGTTTCATCAACTACATACTAAGAATTTCGCAATATTTGGTTTAATGAGCAAAGGGTAATTATTCTAGTTTAATGAACATGATAAGAGGGTATTGTCTTACCTACTGACTTTAGACCCAAGGCCATTCTCACAAAGCGTGTGGGACCTTCCAGAAAATGCAATCTGCAGTTACATCAACATTGAACCTACTGATGCTCCTGTGTTTTTATGTTTGTTAAAACTGAATCTGAAGCATATCATCAACTTAACATCCAACTTCAGCCAAGCCACCGTAGAACAGCACCAAACTTGGTTTTATTGCAAGAATGCATGTTTTCCGACAGGTCAAATTAGGAGGTTGAAATTTGTCAAAGCTTTTCAAAGCAATTTCAACCGTAGGCTGTCTGTTTAAGATGACTCAAAATTTTCGTTTCAATTTTCTTGGCTATTTTAGGCATATAAGATGCATTAAGACCTTGTAGACATAACCGACTCACTCAAAATTGCATCCAGGCAAATCTCAAGCTCCTTGTCAATTTTTTGTTATTTCCGCTCTGAACATAGAATAAATTGTTAGCTTAAAGTCACTGAATCCCAAAACAAGCTATTCCGAAGACACTTACAGACAAAGAACCTTGGCTCAGATTTCAGATATATGAAAGGACTATACCGTATACTGTAAGCTTGGAGAGTAATGGATTAGTCATAGCCTATGACTTAGTATTATAATATAACCTAGTGCACCAACATAATGCAAATGCCATGCGGTTTAAGAGGAAACAATTGTACAACTTTCAACTTCTGGTAAAATGTATAGAGCTAAAAGTCACAAACTTGCATTTTCACATATGGCCCATATCAAAATGTCACGGGACCAAGGAAATGTTACCAGCAATACGGGTTGTTTTCAGATAATTTGATATGGGTACAAATAGGTATAAATTTATATCTATATCACACGAAGTACGTCGTTGGTGTCTATTGACCTAATTGTAACAAGAGTTGTCAAATTCTTACTCCCACTCATGGTTAAAAAAGGTCCACAAAACCAACAACACTTGTAGGACATATCTCAAGGCAAATCGTGTCGTATTTTTGTTTCGAGGCGAGTAGAATAAAAATTGCTCAACCACAAAATAATAATGATGAAATAAAATGTCAATGTGGTATTTGAGTGAATAATTGAATAAGATTATGTTTTTCTTAAGTTATAGATTGCTATTTAAATCCTCAAGAACTTGGGATACTTTAGAGTTCGAATGGTAGCAATACTACCCTCAATTCAAAGGGCCTGCACCAAATCCTGAAATAATCTAAAAAGAGTTCCGACGAAAAATGTCCAACAAAGAGAACATTCGACAATATGTAGATATATCATGACATTCCAAATATGTTTGCTATCTGCAATTTGAAGTGAGATATTTCAGTCCAAGATATGGGGTTGGCCGGGTTAAAGATCACATTGGTAGAATGGGATGGATACAGATCGAAGATGTGGGTTAAATGAATAACAGTGGGATAGAACAAGGTCACAGCAGTACAATATGATAGCTTAAGATCACATTAGTACAGTGGGATAACAATGGGATGAAACAAGGTCAAAGTGGTATTACATGGATGAAACATGCGCAATCAGGATATACTCACTTTATCTGCAAAAGACGATATTGTGCGTCCTATCCACGAATTATTTCCATCAACTTTGATGGGTATCCACTACTACTACAAACTGGATATCCATCGAAAAAATATCACCCATATAAACCTGATTCGGCGGCCCAAATCGAAGCCAGCAGCTGCACAAATAAGTAATTTATATTACCATAATCTATTGGAATATCGACCGACTATAGAGTGGGATAAATCTGTTTGATCCTGCTTAGTCAATATTAAACTTTGCAGGTAAATTCGATATGTGCAAAGGCTGGATGTAATCTCTATCCAATACATCAAGATCATTAGAGAATAGAACTACTAGGTCATGGCCCTTTACAGGAGATTGACAAAGCTTTATTGATGGAAAGAAAAATCTATAAGTTTGTCAATCGGTGACCATTGAATCAGGTCATACATTACGTCATCAGTGTCCTTATTGTCTGTTCTCAAGTCTCGAGCTGACAATTTGTTCTGAAATATTAACCTAGTAAATTAACACAATAAATTCTGTATTATTATGACATTTTAGAAGATACAGTTTAACTCAACCAGAATATGTGTTAGGAAGTCAAACACCCCCGGAAGACAAGGTATTATTACGTGCACGAAACTTTCAAGTAGCATTGATAATATGACATGAAAAAAGTTAACTAAGATTAGCCATTCGATGATGGTTCTTTGTAATAGAGATCATGGTCATTGACATTTAACCTCGGACTCTGTTAGTTGACTTTACCTACTGCACTTTGAGAAATATTATTGGCTAAAATGGGAAATAATTATTTCTAACAAAGGACTCTTCGACATAGTCTTCCAAAGCCAGAGCATATTTCATCATTCAGATCCTTAGCTTATGCAATTGGCCTGATCACAGCAACAGCAAAGGTACGACCGAACGTCTTCGAATGGTAATTTCATCTGATACCATCTCGGGCACTAAACAAGAATATACACAGGTTGTGAGTATCGGGTCGGTTAGTTTTGGCCTTACGACAAAAATAGTAGGCCTAATAACTTTGCTGAATTTTGTTGTTTTGTCTAAAATGACTTTGCGGATATCTTCGTGATGTGAAATCATTAGGCTTTGTAAAAGTTTTATTTTGGCTATTGAAGTTTATATCTCTAACAAATCTTATACTTAAACATCAGGCAATATATTTCTTGTATACATAAGTATAACATACTATGTGGTTAGTGTCACTAGTGAGGAAGGATAATGCTAGCCTTTCAGGGACGCCTATTCAGGCTTTATTATGCAACGCAAATAATAGGCTATAGATGGAAATGCTTACATCAATTGTTTCCCAATTAGAAATGACCATGCGTCATGAAAGAAAAAGAAAACGACCTCGAGTTATTGAAATGCTTCCAAACTGGAATGAGATTTTGCCTGAAGCCTGTAAAGGACGTCAGGTCTGTTGTAGGAGGGGACGACGACCTTCTGTCCCTTACGTAAATAAACAAGATCTTCTGGTCCGGGGGCTATTTATTGGAAGTTTATAGGATTGTGAAACAACCCAGAGGACATTATGATGCTATTAGATTACCAAACCATTGATTTGCCTGCTAACTATATGTCCTCGATAGTATTTACTTTTATTAATATATATTTTTCAACATTTTTAGTTGCACTAATGAGTTTGCATACTAGTGCATTCAAATGGTTAGCACATCTTGACTTTCATTTTAATTCGGTATTTTAGGAATATCATTTATCTGCCATCACATGATTCCTTCCAGTTTTTCTGAAACTAACCGAATAATTTAAAATCATGGTAGCTATTAATATAGCACTTAAATCTGATCTGATTGCAAGTCACTAACCGATAGGTTATTTGCCGGGATTTTCGTCCTCTTATAAAGGTAATGCAATATTAGGTAGATACAGAAAATATGGCATGTTTCTGCGCTTCTGCAAAACTGTGGAATTAGTCTGGAGTAAACATAAGTCTTGGAAAAGATAAGGCAGTTCTTACTTTGTTTATTGAAAGAAAACATCTCTAATGATAGATCGATACGAAGCCTTTTTAATGAATGAAATAACGTAATGGGTCGATATGACATTCTGTGGAAGAAATCTGAACAAAGGCAATAGCTTCATTCATAAATATTAACACAGTGTAAGAATGGTGCTGAAATAACCATATCTACATGTATATCTCTATGGGCATGCGAGTAACATGTAAATGGAACCCTTTTATAAATATGTGTCGTAATATTGATATCGTGTCCAATTATGAAATTTCACGAAATGCATTAAAGAAGGATAAAATAGTATTTTCACATACAACTATTTGGTGGCGTGCGTGCCACGTACATTAGGCATCAGATATGATATACAGGATAACAGAAAAATGCCAAGTCACTAAAAAGCATTGTTCCATTCGGCTACATCGCTTTCTGCATGGGCTTAATTGTCATTTCATAACTCCATATCACAATTTCCGCAACAATCTTACAGTTGCCGGTATACTGAATTGAAAATCATAGACCTGTACATTATATAAATTGGTTGAAGGTTTATAAAAATGTGATAAACGGATTAACCGATTAACCGTACAATTAAGCCTTCGGCTTGCAAATATGCAACCTTTCACTAAAGGTTAAAAATTGTCCTTGGTCACCAATCCCCGTCAGCAAGAAACTTTCATTTTGCAATTTGAAATTTCGGTCACCGTAAATAGGCTATGGTCCTTAGGGTAATGTAAAGTCAGTGTATATTGCGAAACTTTGCAAGTTTTCTGGTAGCATTTTACTTCCGGCAGTTCTCCAGCTGCTCCCGGTCCATCTATTTCCGCATGTAAACTGCGTTCCATTTTGTATGTCAAAGTGTACGTGTATTTTCAAATTTTGTATCCTTGATAGAAAACAGGCTGATAAAGAATATATATGTCAAGGACTAGAAATATTAAAACAACATAAAAAGCTTGCTGTTACTTGTTTTACGCAATGCGATCTTAAAGGACTAAATCGGGATCGGCTGTACATAGCAATCTGCTACATTGCAAGAAAATTACTGCTGTATATAAGATAAAATTAGATCATAAATCACATTTGAGAATGATAATAAGGGCCAAAGCCTTGACCGTTAGATGGTTATTGAACATGTAATTGTTCGCCCATCCAAGAAGCACAGCTTTCGACTGGTCATTTGCATGAGCTTTCAGCTTCAAGTAGCCCAGTCACTTAACAATGCTGATATGACGCTACATTCGGTTAGCGTTATTTTCTTTGAGCGTGGCTTGTCATGGCCAGAGGCATTGGGTATTCTCCCACATTGTAATAAAACTCGGGGTACCAGGTTGTTTTAACAACTTCAGCTGTTACATGACAGTTGTATTTCTATTCAAGCGATGTACCCACATTGTAAATCATACTTTATGGATATAACGGCAATTATAACGGTTTTCCATCCGCTCAGAAAAAGTTGGGGACTCGATGTTGAGATCAAATATATCTATTATACCAAACAGTTTTCATTGGGCTATTTAAATGGAAGTGCAAAATACCTGTCAATTTCAACAGATCCACCCCCCCCCCTCCCCTCCCTCCTTCTGGTTTTTATTTGTCACACAAATGTCCTGTACACACACATTGTTTATGTAATGTTGAAAACTACTTCTTACAAGGCAATCGATAGCTGACATAGTCGATATTTTATCTGATTGAATGGTCAATGAATTGTGTTCAATAAAATGCTCGATAACTAGTTATAAACCTCGGAATTGGTCAATAGTAAAACTCATTCAGACCAATACACTATCGATAGTTTGGAACAGATTCAATACCAGCGATCGCCAGTCTATTTTATGTGAAATCCGTATTTAATTCTCTCTTTTTTTATTACACCAAATAGCCCTAATATTACCTAACCCTCATTCCATTGAAATGACACTGCGCAGATTCAGTATTTTGAATACCCTCCCCTAATAAGTTTTGTACAAGTTGTTATATATATAATAGTGATTTATATACTATACAGCCTACTCAGTGAATGGATTCGCCCAAATACAGCTATTTGATTGGTTGATATGTGGTTCATATCGAAGATGGTCTTTGCCAGCCACAAGTTCGCGTACTGACGCCACTGTTGATATAAGCCAGGGTGGGGGAGGTCGTCACTATCTTGGACCTACTGTGATAGCCTCAAACATCGCCAAACTTTTAACCAAATAAGTCAAAAGTTAACCTTTGTACTTTTTAAATTTTAAAATGTCAGAAGAGAAAATAACCATTGATAGACTTAATTTCCAAAGTCGAGGAACTTCGGTTTCGGACAGAATTAGAGTGACTGTGTGTCCGACTACAGGCGGACAAATCGAATTACGATCATCCGGATTGGAAACGATTCAAGGATTGAAATGGATGATAGCGCGGAAGCTGAAAATTGCTCCAGAAAAAATAACTTTATTGCACAAAGATCGGTGAGTAAATTTATATTTTTAACAATGAGTGAAAGTTGAGTCTGAAGTTTTATCTGTAACGGGGTGTATGTTGCGGTTTGCACTATTGACCTCTCAAACTCTTACATTCGCATGCAAAATCTGAATAACCGCCCCTTTGATCTTAAGTAATTTCAACAGATTATTTGCACCTGTTTTAATCCATTGACAAATGTGTTTAAAATTCGGTGAAATAACTTTAAAGTTTTAGCGCATTATGTTTCAAGTTCAGTGTCAACGGCAAGCTTGTCATTCCTTTATCAGCTGAATAGCAGACGACGTATTATGCGCGTGCTTTCCTTGACGTGTGGCTTGGGCTAGCCTGATGTTGCGCCTTGGAAGAGCGACGTTAATGAGTTTAGGCGAGTTGGGAAGACAAAGAAAATGTAATTTAGAAGGGTGAAAGATCTGAATAAATTGAGAATCCATAGAGTAATCAATAGGACAAATCAATTGACCGATTTTAAACTCTGACTCATTCCGTATAGACTGGTAGTAGGCTGGTGCTCGGGATATTTAGAAATGTTGATATTAATTCCTGTGGGCCCATTTACATAGTTAACTCATATTTTATATAAGTCATTGTCTGGTCATTAAACTTTGATAAACATAATCATAGCTTGAATATAAACAACTGCAATATCTTGCATATACTTGGTCATGAACTCCTGCAATAATCTGAACTCCTGATATATTGCACCAAGCATTGGGATTAAAGGATTAGGATAATACATTGCCTGCAACTTAAAAGATATGAATGATGATACATCTATGGTACCATAAAATTGGCGCTGAATAGCTGATTCACATATTTGGCATTTTGACTTAAAGAACTTTATGTGTGTAATTGTTAATTACTATGTGGGTAATTAATATATGAGACATAGGGTAACATGCTGAAAGTGGGTTTATATCAGTTTGAGTATAAGTATTAGTAATAAAGTTAGTAAATGTTATTGCCACATGTTATGACTAAAGTGATTAGCACTGTTTCATTACATTGATCATCTGTTTATATGTGTTTACTATTACTCATTACAGAGACCTGTAGGCATAGCCATACTGAATAAATCATTACTTTTTCTTTCTATATCAAAAGGCTGACTGTATTTTACTACTAGATGGGGGTTGTATTCTAGGTAGGCAATTCAATGAACATGTTAGGTGTGTCAAATTTTGGGTGTTGATCCTTATAGTTCCTCTTTTGAAACTATTAGATTAAACTCCCAAATTTGAAAGTGAAAAGAATATAAAGATCATGATAATACATTAAGTGATATAGCAGTGTATATATATTTAATAATAAGTGTATATTTAAATAGGTTTTATGTGTTTTCTTTATTTGTATAGGGTATATAGTATGACGTCAATGACTGACTTGACTAGACATTGCTTTAAAGTGAATTGAACCCTATAAATAGTGAAATGAGGTATATTGAATCATATATATCAAACTTGTCATATTGCTTGTAGATGGTGGGATTGTTTTGGGAAGGGGGTGAATTATTCATTAATTAAAAATCATACACACATTATATTGGGTCTTGTAGGCCATAGATCCTAGGGTAAAATGAATATTGATTTGGCCTGAAAATAGCTACAACTTGCTAATTCAATACTGGTAGCTTCATCAGGGATATGGAATTTGTATTTGCCAATTTTGTCTGATTGGAGTGAAAATGTGGCTGACTGTCAGTAGTTTTGTAGACTTTTAAAATGCTAAAACAATATTCTTTAGTTCAGCAATTTATTTTTTCACAAAATTTACTATGATTACAACCAGAACTATGGACTTCTGTCTGAGTTACAATTGCCAAAAAAATACCATCAAGTATTTGAATGGTTCGCATTAAATTTAGGAAGTGTGTCAGATATTGACCTCATGAACTTTAAAATTAGGACTGTTAAGTAGTTCACACCTACACCAAAATTTATCTTTATATAACACAAGCCTTATACAGAAGCCTTATATACTTTATACAATGATTTACATTTTGTATTGACTTTAAACTCCAATATTTTAAGGGTTTACGATTATGCTATTAAAGATTAACAAATGACTAAATTGCAACACATTTGATTATTATAATTACTATGCAGAATTCTCACCATGGTCTGCCTGTTAATCACCTGATCTTCACTGTATCTGATATTTTATTTATCTGTATCATATTTGCTTAGAAATTAGATTTGAAAGTAAAGTACATGCTGATTGAATTTTGGAAAGGCAGTAATAAACATAAATTGCTTACATTACTTGGTTTTATTTAGGATGAAGATTTGACATGGTGCCAAACTTTGTGGTGCCAGGTTAAATTGGGAGTATGTAGGTGGAGGCACTATTTACAGAATAACCGTTTCAAGGGCACGTTAAGTTGGATAAAAATTCACTGGCAAGATATTTGTTTGCATTCTTCTTCTTCTTATTTAGTTCATATTTACAATTTATATATTGGAGAAAATTTATTGCCCTGTTAAAACAGTTATCTATAAGACACAGTTCTGTCATTTATATGTTCACTGAAGCAGTAAATAAAGATTTGCTGTCAAGATCACAAAGAGGATCTGGTATTTCGTCAAACCTTTTCAAGGAGTTCATTTTGCAAATCAAAAGCAATTAAAATTGTTGCATTGAAATGATAATTAGAAGATAGGATAGATTTAAATTTCTACATTTATTAATCAAGTGTGAAAAACACTCCACATTTTCAATAAATGATGAGTAACTATTATATACAGTATGAAATTGATACGAAATGTTCACCATTCATTATTAAACTGTAAAGTTAATATATCTTCCTAAAAACGTTAAAAATATCCTGTTTTCTCATTATAGAAATCGTGCGTCTTTCTTTAGTGCAGATAAGTATAGCGAACATTTCACATAGCTGAAAAAGGAATCTAAATTGGACAATTTGAAGAAGAGACAATAAGAGAAACTATTTCTAGCAATTTATTTTGTAACACTGAACTGATTATCAGTTGTTCTCCTAAAAATAACTTTTTTGTAATTTATAGTCCTAAATTAGGTATAATTAGATGTTTTATTGCCAGAAATTTGAAAGAGGGATTGTGAAATGAATTAGAAACAATGAACAATACACAATGAACAATAGAAAAAGATAGTAAATTGAAGAGTGTCACACGTTGAAGAGTAAGACCCCATTCATTTCACAGTCAATCATCATTGTGCTCTTTTTAACAGTATGATAAATTTTTAATATACAATATTTACTTGGTAATTACCAAAACTATGTCCTCCACTAATAATATTATATATAATCATTTTATGAGGAGTTAATTGTTCTAAATATTCTTTTTAATCAAAATGATTAACTATTTCCTCTCATTATCAATTGATCTTTTATTGTAGAAAAAGCAAACAATTAGCCTTTATAAGATCAATTTGATGAAAGCCTTTTACCAAAGAGTCTCAATTTTTTTTAAAAATGTAAGGAATTCTTCCCTGCAACAATTTTGATAAACATTGGCCAAATGAAAATTGTAATCTGGACATATAGGTACTGGTTTATGAATGGAAAGCAATGTAAATTCTTTGAAGCTTACTGTTTGTATCAGTCTGCCAAACCTGTTGGAATCGTTGGACAATCTCTGGTCCTGTTAGTCCTGATATTTTTTTTAAATATAATTGTTACCTGTAACCTGGTAATGCTGATCATTTATCTGTCTGTGATTTGTCAATTTGGGAAGGTCTTCTGAAAATACATAAAGTTCACAGATGAAACCCTGAAATACAGAGATAAAGCTATCTTTAGTTTAAAATGTTTGTATAAATTTATATATGTCAGACTTGCAGTTATTACCAGGAAGTGATATTATTTATGTTTAGCTACTGCGTGGGTCTTGTCCATTTTTAACAAATTAAATTAGGGTTTCCTCATAGCAGACATACAAACTCAATCATTTATATATTCAGTGTACTCTAAGAAAAAAAAAACTTGAAAAGATAATCAATTGTTTTTGACAAGTGTAGGCCTAAATTTATTTCAAGGAAGAAAAGATGTAATTATTTTGATTAGGATAGGTAACAATGCACTTACTGACTTGATAATATTTCATCTGAGAGAAAAATGTGAAGGAGGGTTTGTTGAAATAGGCTGTAAAAACTTTGTGTTGTAAAAAAATGCATATTGATGATGTAAGAGAATATTCGGTATCAATTTCAACAGCGAATTTAAACTCGAATATGAAAGGTAATTATCATAATTAGGGTAGAATTCACACTAAATTGCTCTTGAATATGAGGACATTTTTGGGTAATACCCCTTTAGTATTGACATTAGATAACTGATATACCACACCCAATATAGACTTCATACTATGGATGGTTCATATATCATTGTTGATTCCATAGATAGCAAGGTGGAGCTTTTTAAAATTCATACAAGATTTATTGCTTAAATAAACATGATGTGTAAATTAAGTACCTCCAGTTCTCGATTAATAAAACATTAATGGATTCCTTCACCCTCCCTTCTGGCTTATTCATATTTTAAAATATAGATGAAACTCACACAATGCAAAGGAAATTATTTTGAAAAAATGGCTCAATTTTTTTTATTTGTTTAGTTTAATCCTAATTCTTGTATGTAGGGCAACATAGGACAAGTCAGTCACTTTAACACTATCAAAAAGCCATGAATATAATATCTTTGTAATAATCTTCGAAGAGGGTCATGATTTAGTCAAAAAATAGATTCATGACAGTGGGTTTAACATAAATTATATATGATAAGACATGTCAAAAAAATTGGATCCACCCTTGATTCAATTAAGATTTTTCAATGGGTTAAGAACGCCACCCTTTCTTGATTCAAGTGAAACGAATGTTAAAGGTACTCTCTTTTCTGAAATTTCAAAGATTGGCTTCTTTTTTAAACTTGTTCAAATTCTACAACCCTATGCATAAAACATATATTCATGGTTCCCTAGTTTAAGTTGTTTTCCTATTTGAATTTCGT